AGAGATAGTTTGGTAGATTTAGACAGGTTTTTCTTTGGTATCTTCTCTGATCTATGTCTCTCTGTTCTTTTCCACCATATAAATAAACCATGAAATAAAATACACACTCCTTCAAAGCCCTTTGTTGGAAGGTATTTATTGGGTGGTGTAGTGATGAAGCCACTGCCCTCAAGTAGCAATTTTTCCTGTAGATTCATGGGAATTTTTTTAAACTACTTAGATGTAACAGTATATAGGGTAGAGAATAATCTTCATACTACTTTATAAGCCAGCTGACCACATCTTATTACTATGACTAACTTCACCATCTTCATTTAAAATAGATCACAGGTCAGTTTCAATGTGTGTAAAGAATATTTGATATGTACACTTTGGAACATATGAGCCAACATTTTTTGGGCAGATTCTGCAAGTCAGGTGTCTTTAAAGAGTGAAGCTTCATAAACATCATAAAAATACCAAAATAACCTACAAACACAACTGAAACATGAAAACACTGTGCCAATATAATCCAAACAATGTACTGATTTACTGTTTATTTGGATTTTGGTCTCAATATGAAAATAAGTTTTACTTAATCTGTTTTTTTTTTTAAACTCTGCCCTATAGCCTCAGTTTGCAACTGGCCAGCATCTATACACAGATTAATTGGAGGTTTTCTGTGTAAGAAGATCTTGAAGAATTGCTTCTTTCAAAGAACTTTAATTAAAGCAAAACCAAAGATGTTGGCATTTACCTTGTAATCTGGTCTTATGTTTGCAAAGTAGATGTAGGAGTCCACAGCCAGGCCAATACGTAGCCCTCCTCCCTCCCAGGCGACTCCTGTCATCTGCTTCCCAGGAACTTTGAGAGTCCTCAGATGCTGTTTAAACACCAAATAGCATTAAATGAAAACATTTTATTGTCTCATGGCATTTCTATTTCCCTACCTACTAGACAATGTAGGAATGGTGCAACAGAGAATCTGTTGTTGCAAGGTATGTCATTCATAAATTAAAAAAACACAAAACAAAATTAAACAGATATATAAAACACAAAATATACAGTATTCTTTATCAGCTCAGTCCATTTTATGTCAGTTCTTCTGTTTGGTCCCACATATAATAATGACAGGAACATTACATGGTACAGTGCTGCACACGCCTATGTTCATGTGTAAAACTCTGTCTAAGTAAGGGAACAGAATCTTGACCCTCACCTCTCCAAACGGTGTGTAGAACTGCACGACATTGAATTCTTTATCCAGATTTGAGGCTCTGAGAGAACCAGCCACCGCCAGAACACTGCCACAGTGATTCCACTGGATACTGACCACATTCATCAGAGTGTCAATACACACTGGGTCTGCAGAACAAGGCAGCGGCATAGCTCATCATTACTGGTAAACATTTCATCGAAGTGTAACCTGGAGCGCATACTGCAGTCTTTGAAGGCTTTTTTCCTTACTTTCATCATTCTCGTAGCGCATGACCTGACATCTTCCATTGTCGAAACAGATAGCAAGACACGGACAGTCTGGCTCAACGTAACCCCCAGTTCCTGCATACCAGTGGATACCTGCTATACTGACAGCTCCAGTCGCATTAGTGAGGCAGCTTATGGTCATTTTCATCTGAAACAAAACACACATCAAAAGTCAACATATGCTAATATGTAGTCAGTACAATCAAGCAGATGATAGGATCTGCTTGAAACAAAGCTGCTTTCATGCTTATGAAGCCACTAATCTGTTTTCAGGATAGTTATCTTACTAAGTCAATCAAGTGATTAATATTTTCTATCAATTTCATGTGAGTACATGATGCAAAGTGTAGCTTTTAGCAAGTAATGGACATTCTTGCTAAAAGTTGCCACGGTGTCTATTTTGAAGTCAAATTTCAAATTTTCAAGTCCTACATTAAGGGGCTTTTACAGCATCCACATTTATTTCTGGATCATGAACAAGAGAATGTCCCTGCACTGAAAGCTTTAAAGAAGCCAATGTTTTGCCCCACAGTATAACCTCTGATAATGTATGATAACAGATTCTTTCTAAACCTGCTGTTTACATGAGCACTGAAAGCCTGCAAGGTGTGCATTGCCATTCCCTCTGCACACTTGACTCTGCATTCCACTTGCATTTTTATTTGTAAAATTAGCACCCTGTGAGTCAGAAGGCCATGTAATGCTAAATGGGTACATACTAAGATGAACTGACATTTCTATTTTACTTAAACTTATGCACTTACTATGAAGTTTCCTTGGTTGTCATAGATTTGTACTTCACCATTGGCCATGCCAAAGAGGAGGATCTTGCTGTCTGGAGACCAAGCCACATGAGCAAGCTGATTTCCCTTTAGCTCCTTTCCCCAAATCCGGTTACCTACAAAAACAAGGCCAATATGAGCTACTCATTTGCACAGTATGTAAACAAAGCATTCCTTGTCAAGGGAGCATTAGTGATTTTAATCTAAATTGGTTTGAAAAACTATTGTGACTGATCACCATTTATCAGATTTCTAGCAATCACACTGTAAAGCTTTTTACCATCTACAGAGCCAACAATGACAGCTCCATCTTCATACACAATGCAGATCTTCTGACCATCCGCGTTCCAGCTCATGCTCCGCACCACAGACTTGTTCCTGTTGTTGATCATCTCCTCGTACCACGCACCTTAGGAAGGGAAAAAGACTATGAACTATAAAAGCCAAATTTATTACAACTTAGATTTTTTGTTTGCAGCAGTAATCACCTTTGTAGAGCATCCAGACAATGATGAGTCCATTCTGGTCACTGGTTGTCAGCTTTTCATACTGTTCATTCCACGTGACTACTTGCACTGCACCTGCAAATGTAACAATTGTGAAGTGTCAGACAATTTGTCTATGGCATTACATAAGGTGTGGCATATTTCCTTTTGTGGACACTGGCTGTATATCACATACTATAATAGTGACAGATTTGGCAGCATCTGAATACAACTTACCACTGTGTCCCTCTAGGGTCTGGTTCATTGACAGATTACTGGGTGCAGCAAGACCTTTAAGTTTGGCATCATCTGTTGAGAAACCACAGTCAAAGTAGAACAGCAGATAATTAACAAGTAATTTTCAGGAAGCAAACTGTTAAAAAACTTTTTATAAGTCAGACACACGAACAGTAGTATGGTGATGAATATCATCACAGAGTTCTTATTATTTCTTTTTGGTTGGTGGTTTTTTACATTTTTTAACATAATAACATTAGGTCTGTCCAACAGACGGAGTGGGCAAGGTATTACCATTTCTACTTACAGTGTCTGAAACCTTAGGTACAATAACAGAGCCAAAAGGCTTACAAAAGATTATTTACACACTGTAAGAGCCATTGTCAATATCCCTCAAATCTCAATCACATGGGTATTAGATAACAGCTTGGACAAATAAACTTTAACACAGAGCTGGATGAACAGGACATTATACATCACAAACAAAAAATGTAAGTTTATGCAGGGTAATCTAACCGATCACTTTTATTCTACACTAAAGCTAACAGCAAACATAAATAAATATATGCAGAATATTGAAACGTGAACAAGGACACACAGTGTAACTGATGCAAAACAACTAAAACCAGGGCCAGCCAACACCAGTATGTGGGTAACCAATAATGGTCCATTTCATAACAAATTTTGCATGCTGTCATTATAACCCTGGGATAGACTGCATTTATGTAATGTAAGTATACAAGTATTATAACAATGTCATCAAAACTTATTATAGGAAATTAGAGGGACTTGTGTACGTGTTTGTGAAAAGTTACCCTGCATGTTTTTAAAAGTTATGTAGATTGTATTTATGACTAAGGTCAGGTGTAGCAAGAGATAGCCTGGAAATCACGACTTTGTCTACAGGAGCCGTGCAGGTTGTTTGCTCCATACCTTGACCTTACCTGTCTGAGTTTCAAGCTTGAGTACTCTCAGGAGACCGTCGTCCCCTCCACAGGCAATGAAGCCTTGGTCTTTGTTCCAGGAGACACATTTTAGATGGATATTGTTGGGGATGGCAATCTATAAATCATGGGAAAATGCAGCCACACGTTAACCAATACTATACGTCTTAACTAACGAATTGATAGATGGCTGGGTAGATGGCTGAGCCCAGGAGACTCTCACCTTCTTGCTGAGGTATATAAACATGGTGGTGGTGATAACGTTACAGACCACTATCACTCTATCACGGAGTTGCTTGATGCGGAGTTAGACTAGTTATCATAAAAAGACACTGACCAAACGTCAGCTAGCACTAGACAGCTATAGTGAGCTAACCAGCTAACATTTTCAGCCTAGTTTACATCATGCAGCCTGAATTTGCAGAATGTGACGTTAGCCTTCATCGTTAGCTTTACTAGTTAGCTAGCAGTTAGCTAGCAGTTAACGCGATGCAGTTACCTACTGCTAAGGACTGTTAACGTTAAGAGTAACCTGACAAAGTCGAGGGTTGACTACGATTATAGTGAATAATGTTAGCGAAAGTATCGGAAAAAGAACAGTTGAAATTCGACTTTTCGTTGTTTGTGTTGGCAGACTCCAGTACTCAGAGGTTGTCGCTTCCCTCGGTCTCCCGTGGTAACCGTAAACCGGAAGAAGTGAGATTAGGGTGACACTGGTAGTTGTAGTTTTTCTTGTGATTGGCATCTTTTTGAAGAGCTGTCCCTTTCCTTTCCTCACCACTAAATGGAGCCGTTCACTTGGCTTTTACTTGGGAAAAGCAAACATTTTATTTAGCTTTACAGAGCTGTCTTGCACCTACTCTACCCACTAAATAATGGACCGCAATGAAAATATTCCTAGTAGGCCTATACTAACACTAAACAAATACATAAAAGTATTTTAATACAGTGTGGCATTCAATTATATTGGCCAATGCACAGCATTATCAAAATATCAAAAAACATTAGTCCAGTGAAGGAATCATAGTGAGTCTCAAGACTGTTGCTGAAAGTTCATATCATAGTTTTAATCTTGTAGCATGCGGCTTGGTAACACAGTATAAAATATACAATAGTGATTTGGATCCATTGTTTCAGAATGTTTATTTTCCATGTCCAGCTTTAATCCCGATATAAAATATACAGAAAAGCACCAAAACATGTAATGCATGTGACTGTCAGTTTACCCATAGAGGCCTTCACCACAAATACTGTTCACTTTTTTCATTTGTGTTCCACAGACATGAGTAGAAAATATAGTACATGAATATAGTGTATGAAGAACTATTACTTTAACTGGTTACAAAACTGATGTGATCTTAGCTATAAATCTCCCGCTTTCAAAACTTGCATTGACAATAGTCTGTAATGGCCAGGACTGCTGCCAGAAACTTTGGTCCATGACTTGCCAAGTATGCAAAGTAGCCTACTGAAGCGGTCAGAGCTCCCTAAACTGTTTTTTCCCCTATCCCCCCCAAAACAACTGTACCTGTCTGTTACAACCAAAACAATAATTACCAATGCATGTTGTGCAATTAGGTTGTTGAAATGTTTCAATTCAAAGAAAAGGATTATAGTAATTCTGTGATTTAGCACAGCCAGGGGCCAATTGGATCAGGTTTTATTTTGGTCTTTTCTCTGCGTAATGCTGCAATCAGAGGGATAGCAACAATGCTCTTGTTGCATAAGAGATTAGTTGTTGTGTTATGATTGTGGATGGAGTCTTTGTGTTCTACCAAGAACACTACACAACAACACTGACCAAGAAATGCTCTCAGAGCAGTGAATACACAACAAGGATGTGGTACAACACACTATTTTAAAGAAGCTAACGCAACTACTGTTTCTATAAATTCACTAATTATCTTACAGTGCATGAATCTGAACTCAATGGTTTACACTGTTAGGAAGAAATGTTGCTTTTCTTACAAATACACAGGTATATGTAAACATTTACACCAGTTATATCCAACTTTACTGTAAGAAGTAACAACAGACCATGTTGTGAATGCAAAAATGCAGGTTTATAATATAAAACCATAATGCTACCAGTATACCGCATAAGAAATCATTACCACGCAGACCTCTATCAAATCTTGGACACATCATAGACATGAGACATTAAGAGATTTTGAGGGTTTTACAGATGACTTCCGGTGGTCAAGAAAAGTGGATACATCGCCAGTCCTTAACATGTCTTCTGACGGCAACGCTGTTCTTAATACTGCTGCTGACCTTCAATCAGATTCACTTTGTCTGAAAGTTCATCAAGTGAACAGAAAGTCAAGGAAATTGATTTTTTTTTTTTTATGTTGCGATGTTTACCACTTCATGATGACACCATAAAAATATGCAACTATACCGCAGACTCAAGGTTTAGATTCAGATTCAAATTATTGTAATCCAAAGCACTAATAGGAATATAAATATCATTGCAACTGTCCAAACTAGTGCCTATGTCAGCTATTTTTATAGACACAAAATGTAAAGCAAATATTTCTGTCACACAATCAAAGTCTTAAAATCAAACTCAATGTGTGGATCTTGTGAGATGCAAAAGGATATGTTTTCTGCTCAGCTCGTGAATGGTTGACTGTACTTTTTTCTGGAACACAATCTGAGCTTCACACATGCAGGCGTCTTGGGTTATTTCACTTCTCATTTCCTCTGAAAGAATGAGAAGAAATATGGAGAAAGTGAGTGGTGTTTCACCATGTTTAGTAACACCACATTTGGCTGCTTGGTAGAAAGAGCGACACAGCTCTTCAAATGTTTCTCTTTGCAGGTCGAAAGTAGCAGAAAGTAACACTTTTTGACACCCACTTCGAGTCAGAGTTGATGTTCAATATGAGCCTTTGCCTTTCCAAACATCATCAAGGTGACAAAATCATATAAATTTTAGGTGTTGCTTTACACATTATCACAATGGATATTGAATCAATAATACACCCGAGATTATGTACAATTATGATTTCTCTTTTGTGAGTGAAATTAGAAAATATAATCAAAATGTTTCAGTCACTTCAACTAGTTAATCATAAAGTCAGAAGATCCAGTGTGGTTAGCTTTAAGTAGGATTTTAAGACATGTTAATTATTTAAGCAATATACTCACATACATGTAATATACCAAATCACTGAAAACATACAAAAAACAGACAAAAAACAAATCAATAGAACCATTTTTTTTTTGGTCCTTTACTGAGACCAAACTCCACAGCTAGCTCACATCACAACCTCCAGTGCCTTAGCAGTCCCTCATTCCTTACATCAGCACAGCACACTTTTATGATCTGTAAACTGTGCTGTAAATGGCTGGACCAGTAGAAGTGCAGTATTGCTTGCCGCTGGACACAGTAGCTTTGGTTGCTGTCAATTACAGACTTTTCCACAACTGAAGAATGCAAAAAGAAAGACATAAAAGGTGTGGTAACTGTTAGAATTAAATTAACACATTGTAGGCAAAACACCCCATCAGTGTTATAGACTTGACCATGCTCCTACCTGGAGCACTGCACTGAAATTTACGTGTGGACACAGATGGTGAGGAAGTTCTTTTTCTTTTCTGTGGAAGTTGGCAGTTTTTGCTGTGACTCAGACTACATTCACAAAATATGAGTAATTTGTGTAGGGTGATGGGGTTACAGACTTAAGGTGTGTGTGTGGGGGTGGGGGGTGGGGGGGTGGCAAAACTTACAAGTAGCTCCTTTAAATCCTGTGCTGAACTATAAATCTGTTCCTACACTGTAGGTGTCTACAAGGAATCCAATGGGACATCTCAACAAGAAAACATACCTTAGAGCCCTTTAGAGTACCCAGACCAACAAATGTGCATGATTTGCACATTTATACAAATGTGAACACAAAGTGCATGGAAACTCTTCCTGTCACACACAAACCTTAACCTGGTTAGGTATTGAGTCAAGAGAATTGTGTGAATCATGGCACACTCTGAGACTTTGACCTCTGGGGGTCTTGAGGTTCTCTGTAGATAAACAGACCATAATCCACTGCATAGCCTTCAGAGGAAAGACAGCTTTTCAGTTCCTCTGCTAGAGGGCTGTCATGTTGCGCCAAACCTGCTTGATGCAGACAGTGGCAAAATGAACTTTTACCTATCTAGCTTTACAAGACATGAGCTGAATTCCTTGTGCCAGGCAATATATAGTAAGCATAGTCTACTGTCTAGAATGATCTGTTCTCTCTAGGCAGTCTGGACATACCACTGTATGGAGTCAGCAAGCAGAGATGAGGTTAGGTTTGACTGGTACTCTTCACCTCTAGGTCTAGATTTGTGTTTGTAAATGCAGTGTCAGAGTCGCAGTAGCTTTGTGTATGGACAAATCAGCTTTCATACAAAAAATTAGACTCATCATGCAAATTTCAGTACTACTCTGTGTAGTAAATGATCAAGCCTATAGACCTGTTTAAAGGGCAAATATATCTATATCGGGCTGTGGATTATTAATAAGCCAAAATGCATTAACATGAGGAAAACTGGCATCTCACCTTACATCATCTTGCATAGTTTAGGATGATTTGAGAATGGCTTTTGTCAAGTCAAGCACATGGACCAACCCATCTTTGTTAAAGCCTCTTCAAGTACCATAAGGAAAGAGCATTCAAGGAGCCCCTGGCCAGCTGTTGAAACCTTGGCTGATACAGTTGTTTGGAAGATACATAGAAACCATATCCATGTGTGCAACAGTTCTTGTTAGGTTAGAGTCAGGCTGGCACATCAGTCTGGCTGAGCTCAATACTTGTTGCAATAGATGATAATGCTTTGAAGCTCAGGGTTTGGTGAGAAATGCTGGGCTACGAGAACATGTGCAACACAGACAAGCTAGGATTGAATACACAGACACCATCGTGTATATATGAAAAAGTTCTTACGTGAGCATGTTTTCTGGTCTGCATTCAACACATATCCCACTCGACACTGGCAGATAAACGAGTCATCACTGTTGACACAAATGTGCTGGCAGTCATGTCCATGGGCACATGCATCTGAACCTGAAAAGAAACATTTCCACATCTGACTGACTTAGTCTATCACTGTACGTTCAGACCGAAAGGCGGCGAGAACATCAAAGTGACCAGAAGTCATTCAGCATCTCTTGGCGGAAAGCAGCGGCACGCCCGTTGTCAGCATGTGTTGAAACCAGAAAGTGGAGTGTGGAGAACACTAGAGAACACAACCCCATCCTTTACGACATGTATCTGTCCGCTTACAGGACATGACTGGACAAAGGTGTCTGACACTGCAGGTGTTCCAGGAGAGTTGGTGAAGTGTAGACTATAATATATTTAGTGAAAATAGAAGGGAATTGCATGTTAACTAGCACCATAGCATGCAAAACATTGTTGCTTGACAACTTGATGCGATTCAGTCAGTAACGCGAACATCGCTCATTTAAATCATTTCATGAGGTTAACTTATACCCTACTTGTGGTCAGTTGGCACGAAGATATGGTTGGCATGTCTGTTTGCTTGAACAAACTTGTTAGCTGTCTATTACTTCTACGTCATCTACGTTAGCACACCCACAAACTTCAACAGCGTCCTTGACTGTGGAGTCAGAGCACTTTTTTTTCGCTCTCACCACTATCAGTCTGAACATACAGTCAGTCAAGGACCGCTTTATCCACTGTGAACCCCATGCCTATTGCCATTTTCTCCATTCTTCTCAGTTGTAAGAATCACCATGGTTGATTCAAATATGCTGGCAGTTATGTCCATGAACACATGCTTCCGAGCCTGAAACAAGACACTCCAAAAACTGACTTGATAGCTCGACAAACCCTTGGCTATCATTCCCATAATATTCATGGAATCCTCTGCCAAACCATGACATGCATGTGTAGAGCGTAATACAACAAAACATCTTGAGATATTGTAAAAATGTTGAAAGGAATCATTTTCTTACGTGAGCATGTTTTCCTATCCATGTTCAGAGCATATCCCACTCGACACTTGCAGATGTATGAGTTCCCATTGTTGATACATATGTGCTGGCAGTCATGTCCCTGGGCACATGCATCCAGTCCTGATCCTGAAAAGAAAAGCTCACACTTCAGTGACTTTGTTTTGGGACATTCAAAACAATCACTTGGCCTTTTTGCAGAGCCTTTGGTCACAGTTCCCTTTAAAAGAAGTGGATCCCACAATGATGTCAACCCATATATTTCAATATACTCAGTCTCGCATATCTCATTCACACAGATGAGAATGATGGATGATATAAAGTATGGTGTGTCCACAAGACAGATTGCCTCATCAGCCCCTACTGTCCAGATGGAGTCTTTAAAATTTTTGATGAACCAGTCCCGTTGAGATACTTTGAAAAGTGGTGCTATCTGAGATGCTGGATGACACCACTGACACCAAATATGCATATTGATACAATTCAGGTGCTTACGTGAGCATGTTTTCTGGTCTGCATTCAACACGTATCCCACTTGACACTTGCAGATATACGAGTCATCACTGTTGACACAAATGTGCTGGCAGTCATGTCCATGGGCACATGCATCTGAATCTGAAAAGAAACACTTCCACATCTGACTGACTTAGTCTATCACTCAAGGACCCCTTTATCTATTGTGAACCCTATGACTATTGCCATTTGCTCCATTTCTCTCAATGTCTGAGATAGGATTCAAGGACTGAGCTAAACTTCCCAAACAAATTCAATCAACAAATTCAGCCAATACTTACTTTACACTTTCAGTCTAGAAAATAACAGTGAAATCCTGAGAACATCTGTTAGAAAGGTCCAAGTTCTTACGTGAGCACGTTTTCTGGTCTGCATTCAACACATATCCCTCTCGACATTTGCAGATGTACAAGCCATCAATGCTGACACAAATATGTTGGCAGTCATGTCCCTGGACACACGTATCTGAACCTGAAAAGAAACACTCCCACAGCTAACTACAACAATCAAAGAATCCTTAGTAAGTAATAGAACCTGTGATGGGAATTGTGGTCAAGCACTTTTGAAGCAAACCCTAGACACTTGAGCACATCCAAAAGTAAGCTCTAAGTTCTTACGTGAGCATGTTTTCATATCTGGATTCAACACATATCCCACTTGACACTTGCAGATGTACGAGTCATCATTGTTTACACAAATCTGCTGGCAATCATGTCCATTGGCACATAGATCAGAACCTGAAAAGAGACCTGGACATCAAATGTCCACGTGTTATGACAACTCATTACAACATACAAGCAGGGATTGCACTGATGCAGCTTCTGTCTGGCTGTAAGTCCTTTTACAATCGATGCTGTCTGTCTCCCAAGCATCCAACTTATTCATCCTAACACCAAATTGCTGCAGGTGTGTTCATTAGCCAGGTGTCCAATTTTGAAAAGAGACACTCCACAAAGTATCAAGGGGCACTTGTGGAGCTTATAATGTGGCATCAATCTCTTTACAATATATTTAAATCATGGCTATCTAAACCATACCTCTGGTTCTATCAGACTATTTAACATAAAGTCACTACTGACAGACCCAAACTATTGAGGACAATGAACAAGAGCTGGTATGTGCTCTATTAACTCTTGTTATCAAAAGTAACATTTTGGGGGCTATAATATTATTACTACTAGCATTTTTTTAATCCTCCAGAGGAAGACTTTAAATGTAGTCAAGCACATAGAGTAATGGAATTTGATAGGAATCCCGACACAAAGTTAAAAGTTGAGTCTCACTAGAGCATGTGTTCTGGTCTGCATTCAACACATACCCTTCATGACACATGCAAAGGTAAGAACTAACATTGTTGACGCAAATATACATTCAAACATGAAAAGATACACTCACTACTCTAAGTGACTTAGTCCAGTTACATCTATCATGGATAACCTAAACGCTTTTGGAGCTTTTAATGGGTCACCTTCCAACTTACAAGTTATGTTAGTCATTGCTATGTGCATCAGTCCCAGTCGTTATTCAAAATGAATTCACAACCAACTTCTCTTAACTATTTAGAACAATCTACATAAGCTAATATGCCCAATGTACAGAGCACAGTGCTTCACCAGCTCCAGTTGTCCAGATAAACTTTTTGTTAGATGTTTCTGGCAAACAATAATCCTACAGAGATTTTTCAATCCTCCAAGTAATGGTTTCTGTAGTATTTTGTCAACCGCATAAATTGCAGAGGTAAGAAAATCCTGGTTCATACATGAGCATGTCTTCTGCATCCAACATCTATACTTCATGGCACTTGCAAAGGTAAGAATCAAAATTTTTGACACAAATATGCATTTTTGCAATCATGCACAGACACTGCACTAAGACATGCATATTGGTCCAGATAATAAAATATCAACCACATAATTTCTTTTGTAGCATTTAGTCAACTACCTCAAATATTGGAATTTGGTGGGACACCTGTCAACCCTGACATGCATATAAAATATATAGGTAAAATTCAGGGTCTTACGTGAGCACGTTTTCTGGTCTGCATTCAACACATATCCCTCATGACACTTGCAAATGTAGGAATCACCATTTGTGACACAAAAATGCTGGCAGTCATGTATCTGGTCACATGTATCCGAACCTGAAATGAGACACCTCCACAGCTAACATTCCACCATCAGGGCCGACCATTATAAAATATGATGCCCATGGCCCAAGTCCTTTTCTACCTCTATCCAGGCATGTACATTTTTTTCAGTTTTGAAAACTAGTGACACTGAGACATGCATATCATAATGTGCAAGTTCTTACGTGAGCATGTTTTTAGATCTGCATTTAACATATATCCCACTTGACACTTGCAGATATAAGAGTCCTCACTGTTTTCACAAATGTGCTGGCAATCATGTCCATGGGCACATGCATCAGAACCTGAAAAGAGACAGGTCCACATGTAACTGACATCTCATGACATCAGTTAAGGTGAGTTTGAAATGTTGGAGCCTCTGTCTGGCCACTGTTCCTTTAACTACTGACGTTAACTTTGAGTACATCAGTCTCCCAAGTCTCTAAGTTATTCAGGCTGACCTAAAAACAATTGAAAAGTGCTCAGAACAAACCGTATTATAAGTGAAAAGAGGCAGGAAGAGAGTGTTTCTGTCCAAAATAACTTTCAACTCTTCATCATTCACAATTGTAGTATTTTCTTATTCAGAAAAACCCAGTCCAGTCCACATGAAAATGTTCAGTTCAATTCAAAAGCAAGATCTTGTCATTTCTGTATTCAATTAACTACAAAAGTACACATGCATATCAAATCTCATGCAGCATGCATTGTGGTCTGTATGTAATTTGACCATACGCTCCAATGAAAAGATAAAGGTGCTTACGTGAGCATGTTTTCTCGTCAGCGTTCAATACGTATCCCAAACGACATTTGCAGATGTAAGAATCATCAGTGTTTACACAAAAATGCTGACAGTCATGGCCCTGGGCACATGTAGTTGAACCTGAAAACAGACACTCCCACATGTAACACACTCAATCTAATTACATCAGTCAAGCACATTATAGCCAAGACTTTAAAGGGGCTATTTGTATACTATTTGCTTCACCCATTGTTGTGTTTACAAGACAAGATGTTATAATACGCCCTCTGAGCAGCGCTACATCTTCAGGGCAGATTGGAGGCTACAGTGAGCTGCTATCGGAAAGTGACGAGATGGACTAGGGCTAGCTGGTTAGCATGCTAACATTAGTATAAGAAAAGACGTGATAGAGACAAGAGTTAACATTGACGTTGCTTTCCACTGTTGGAGACAGCTCTTGGTGAGTAAAGGAATGAAGTTTGATGCTGAACTTGCAACACTTCTTCTAGACTGGTAAGTAAACAGCTGTTAATGCTAACGTTAGCTATGTAGCAATAGTAAAACTTACAAATAGCCCCTTTGGTGTGCAATCAATTCTTTTGAAATTACTGTCTATTTTCTCAAACTCATACTCATGATCGTGCATCAATCCCAGTTTCCCATTTTATAGTTTTTCGAATAAATTAAATATTCATTTCTGCACACTGAGATAAAAATAAAGTCTTAAAGCTGTTTTGGCAAACAAAACTGTGGGGATTCTTCAGTGCTCTGAAGGCTGGGTTCAGAAACCTGAGACACTGCAGCAAGAAATGACATGAAACCAACTGTAAGGGTTCTTACGTGAGCATGTTTTCTTGTCTGCATTCAACACATATCCCTCGTGACACATACACAGGTAAGAATCGCCATTTTTGACACAAATGTGCTGGCAGTCATGTCCCTGGACACATGTATCCAAATCTGGAAAGAGATACACCTACATGTGACTGATAATCGCTGAGGTCAACAACAAGCTGTGGAACACTCCTCAGGACAACATCATAAAAATGACCCGCTACTAATTCAAGATGAACTAAGGATTCACTTCAACTTCAAAATAAACTAAATCCAAGCAGCAACCACCACAATGAAACTGATGCCAGTGTGGAAATGCCTTATGGTAAGTTACTGTAATGGCTTCCATGATGGCTCCAAGAAAGCTTCAACAACATCAAAAAAACTGTGAGAATGCCAAGTTTTCTATTGGTACAAAATGATTTCATCAATTCCCAAGTCAAGGTATTTCTACAGATTTTGTTTCAGTACATCAGAAAATATAACAAATGTAATTTGTAGAAAATTTGTGTCATCATACAAATATCGAGTCTACTAGTAAGGTCCAGGTTCTTATGTGAGCATGTTATCTGGTTTGAATTAAAAACATATCCTATTCTACATTTGAGGATGTATGAAACATTAGTGCTGACACAAATCATCCCTAAGAACATGTAACCAAACCTGACAAGAAAATCTTCACTGACATGAAGCTCTTATTGTGGAAGTCATTATGGAGCTTTTGATTGCCAATTGTTAATGTTCCAGTTAATATAATGTAAAGTATCTCCTGTTTAGTCAAGCAAAACGAGACACACAGCATAAGATGACCAACCAGCTCTTGCTTTGTACATGAAGGTTACAGCTATACTTGGAAAAAACATGAATTAATTTTGAGGCCATAAATATATTTAGAAATATTCATTCATACATAACACATACATGTGGAACCAAACAGCAAATTTTATCAGTATTTTTGTTCTTACGTGAGCATGTTTTCTGGTCTGCATTCAACACATATCCCACTCGACACTTGCAGATGTATGAGTCATCACTGTTCATGCATATGTGCTGACAGTCATGTCCATGGGCACATGGATCAGAACCTGAAAAGAGACACTCCCACAACTTACCAACTCAGTCTAATTAAACAAGTCAAAGAAGCCAAGAGTAAATTGGTAAATAAAAACAGTTTTATCCATGTATTTCCATGGATAATTATGGTTGGAATTATGGTTATGATCTTGTACTGAGCTCAGTAAGATTGGTGGGTGAGAGAGCTATTGATGGTGACCTTTGGTTGACGGGTTGTTGCTCTTACACTGCAGTGCACAGGGCCTTGTTTTGCCTAGGCTGACTGTCATCCTTCTCAACTTAGCAAGGGCATTTGGCGTGAAGCAATAACTCTAGCTAACTCACTGAACAGTGACAGTCAGTCAAGCCTGTGATCTGGAGAAAGGATCCACTTGTCCTTTCACCTCCTGCTTAGGCAAGAGTAGCAGCCTGGGCCCAGTGGAGGGTTTAGAAACTTTTGAATGGGTGAACAAGACTGGGGCACAGGTTCAGAGAAGGCAGGCACAATCTGGAAATTAATAAAAAATGTTTTAAGATTCAAATTTAGAGCACTGGTCTTGGTCATAATAAACGGTTTGATGGTTATTTTGTTTAGTCAGTGTAATAAATGAATGCCAAATAAACAACTTAAGATAAAATAACATCAGTAAGTAGCTGCTGTGCTGTCATTTTGTATCAGTTCCTGGTTGTTTTGTATGTCTTTGTAAATGTTTTGTGTCTCTCTGTGGTCATTTGATTGACAGAGGTTCTGATACTATCACGCCAACTACCTATCATCTCTTTACTCTGGTAGAGGGTGGAGATCTGGCCTCTACCAGGGACAGAGCCACTAGTTACATGTCAGGGCTCAAGCTGTCATGCTCTTGTGACAGCTGGTTAAGTCCTGCCAGAGTCAAAGTGCACCATCACTGTATCACTGTCAAAGAGATGGGTTGCTTTTCCTTTTATCATAAATGATGGCCATAACTATATGCTCAGTTTCATTCTTGGCATCCATCCCAGTCTTTCAAGTTTTATGATCATTCAAGCAATATTACCTGCCCTAATATATTTTTGCACCACATAAATTCTGATGTCTAAGTAATTAAGATACTCATATATTTACATTTAGAGTATGGATTGAATTAGTGTGAAAGTCTGTTTGACTTCATTCAAGAAAATAGATACAATGGACAAATCTGTCACATGACTTCCAGTCTGCCTTGACACTTATTCAAGATCTGGAGTTTCAACAACATCTTATGACGGTGTATTCTCAACTCAATCTTGGGACAAAATATCTAACTTCAGGGTTTAGACTTTTGCTTGCATGAGTTCATTTATTCCAACCTGTCACATGTCACGTTTGTGTCTCTCATCAATCCAGGCCTTCATCATGCCCTGCTTATTAATTTGTACTGAATAGTTTGCCCTAATCTATTTAGGGCAACCCAAAACATTGGTAACAAGAGATGGTATGCAGTGTGGCAGCACAGTATGAAATGCTTCACTAACTGACATTCAAAAGGATCTTCAAAAGCTTAGGAACTTGGAATTCCAAGGCTCCATCTAAATTCTTACTTTAATATTTTATAAGTTCAACATTTCCACCTCTAATGAAGCTTTCCCCATCTAATCCCAAATCACAGTTTAAGGAAAATACGGTCAAAATATAACTTTTAGCCATGTTCAACTTTTTCGACAGTAGTTTTCAAATGGTGAATCATCACAACATCAACATCACAACAGAGATAAAGATTCTTACGTGAGCATGTTTTCTTGTCCGGGTTCAAGACGTAGCCCGAGCGACACTTGCAGTAGTATGAGTTGTCACTGTTGACACAAATGTGCTGGCAACTGTGTCCCTGAGCACATGCATCCAAACCTGAAAAGAAACATCCCAGTGTCTGATTGGCTTAGGACTACAGTTAAATTGATCTTTTTTTTTGTTATATGGATATTGGTAAGTTGTAAGTATACACTGATTAATCGTGCACATTTTTATTTTATCATTCGTGTTGTTATTGTGATTTTATTTTAGTTGTTTCAATTCCTGCATTGTTAGTAATGGAAGACATTTAGTAATTAATCACTTTGAAATGTTAAACTGGCTTTTGAATTTAAGTCACCTGAAAAACTTTCCATCTTAATTTTCCAACAGAAAATTCCATGCAGAACAGACCATGCAAACACAAAGTAGAACGCAGGCAACACTTCATAATAACTATGTATGTAGTTGTGACGTCACTCTTCTAGACGACAAAGGCGGTCTCAGTGAAGCACAGAGGTTGGTTGAACTCACCCCTCAGGTTCAAGCTGTCAAGAGCATGGTTTTGAATTGGAGGAACTAGAAACTAGTCTTGATTTTTGACAATTTAGACACCAGGGAGAGTGTTACATGAAAGAGGAGAAGTGTAAATATAGACATTTTAAAAATCCATCCTTTACTTGAGTAAAATTACTCAAAAGTACGGAGCCCCAAAAAGGTCATGGTGTTCCTCTGAAATATTCCCTCTCAATAACTTGCATTCCCCCTGATCTATAGAAAAAGGCCAAGCTGTTGCCGCATGCTTGTCAGTGGGTTGAGCTGTGGCTGGGGATATGGTTATTGCTCAGACAATAGCTGCAGCTGTGCTTCAGTTACCTCCTGATGTATTTACATTAGCTAAGAAGGAATCGTGATGCCAGATACTCATGCTTCAAATATAACAGGTGTGTCACCAATACACACCAGTTCAAAGCTCAGCCAACCTTCCTCTATTGGATCAGAGTGGATGCAAAATATATTGCAAAGTAACACAATATATTGTGCAGGACTGCAGATGAATTGTGAGGGAACAGAAAAGTTTTTGTGAGAGAATGCAAAATGTATTGTGAGAGAATGCAAAAGTAGTTCTGAGTAAAATGTGACTTTTGGGGGCTCTGTACAAAATAATTTGATAATTACAATTTTATTTTGAAATATTCCTCCTTCTTATATTTCCAACTCTGCTATAGAAGTTTTATCATGGCAATTAGCGGTTGGCCTGTAGCCTAGAAGCATTAAGTACAAATAAATGTACATTTAGCAGGAAATATCATCATATGTCCGTCACTAGTGCTTTGTTTAAAGGAACAGCTGGACTTCATGTTGTCACTGTGAGGTCGCCAGAGACACCAGGAAGTCACTGCACCAAGCCAAGAAATGATCTTGCACATAATCTCTGTAGAAGTTGTTGTTTTTACACTTTTAGATTAGATATAACGTGTTAACTATTAAGCTTTGAATGTGCTGGTAGGCAGATTTTGTTACCTTCGGACAAAGCCAGGCTAGCTGTTTCCTCCTGTTTCCAGACTTTGTGCTAAGCTAAGCTAACTTGCTGCTGGCTTCTTAATGAACGGATAAACACCAGAATGGTATCGATGGTATCTTACCTAACTTTCCTGCTAGAAAGTGAATAAACTTTCCATTGTCTTTTTCTTTCAGGAATATCTAAAGATAATAATGTTTATGCAATCATTCAGAAGCTAATTTAAGCAACTAAGCGATTTAAGCAAGTGAAATTTCCTGAAGAACATAAACTTTTCCACTCAACAATACTTTAGTCATATTTAGCGCCAAGCTAAGTTAGTTTGTGCCTCGCAGTGGCCGTTAAATGTTGGCAGAAGCCAAAATCGTGGACCTGGGCAGCTAAGCACATCTTCAGGTAACTGAGCAGGGCACGCGGAAGGAGGCACAAGATAAAGCGCAGAGTGCAAACAGCAGCGCGCTCCCTGTGAAGAGTATAGGCAGCATCATTTTAGGTTTCAACCATTTCTGAGTATTCAAGTACAGAGACTTTGCTCTGAGTCAGCAGATCAACCAGTGATCAGAGGCTTGTCTTCTTCTTTAAGTTGGTTAGTACATGACTTATTGTACATTGTATTGTACATTTTTGACTGCGTTGATACTAAACTATTTTTTTCACCATCTCCATGGCAACAGTTAGTAAACATTATTTTGTAGGAAATGCAAGCACAGCAAGTGGCAGTAAATCACTTACTTTGCCTTTTTTCTTAAAGACTAAAGAAGAGGACCGTTTACTTTAGAATGGAGATTCCCTCGATGGTGCTGCCCATATACTCACAGGTGAATTTAAAAAGATGGATCTGACATACCGTTGTTTCCTTTATCGTCATTTTCATTATTTATTCCATTACCGTCTTTCCTGCCATCTAGGCCTAGTCCATAATCATCAATTCCACCATTTATTGGCATATCCGCACTCCCATTATCATCATCCTTACCACACAAGGTTTCCCTAAACTTGGAAGTGAGCTTCTCTATAACACCATAGGTCTCCACATAGAAGACATGGTCATCATGTGGGGGACTGGCCATGAGGCGGAGGGACATCATATCAGCTCTGTCTACTCCCACCGCGTAGATCTCAATCCCAGACGCACGAGCCGCTGCTGACACCTCCTCCACTTTGTCCTGGGGCCTCCCATCCGTCACTATGATGGCCACTTTGGCAATGTTCACAGAACTAGCTCGGGCCCCTGCCTCTGCAGTGAATGCTTTCTCCATAGCAGTCTTAATGGCCATGCCTGTCATGGTGCCTGAAGCGAGGGGCTCAACACGGGCCAGTGCCTGCTTCAGGGAAGACTTGTCAAAATACGTCTTCAGTAGAAACTCAATCTGTACTGTGCTGGCGTAATTGACGAGGCCGACTCGCGTGGCATCGGACCCGATCTCCAAGCTGTCCACCATGTCTTGCAGGAACTCCTTGGCCTTCTCAAACTCAGCAGGACGTACACTGCGGGAGCTGTCTATGATGAAGACCAGGTCTATAGGCCGATTTCTGCAGTTGGATCTTGTTGCTGTAAAAGAAATAATCGTTTAAAACAGATGGATTCAAAAATGTATTTTACAAGGTTTTGGGATTGTAGCAACATTAGTAAAACTGTTATTAGTGCTGGTCTTTTCCTAAAGCCTGCATTCACACAGTTAAGTTGTTATTACAACTGCTACATGCAGCTAGCTCTAAAGCTAGACCATAGCTGGAGTGTGCCTCAAAAATGGCGGCTATAGAGATACTAGATGTGGACTGCAAGAACTGTGATTGGTTGGCATAAGTTGGTTGTGTTTTCTCCCACAAGTTTCTGATGCTGGTGGAGATTGTTCAGAGTAAATACAACATGAGACAATGTGAAAAATACCTGTCTGTGCTGAATAGTTCCATTATGAGTAATGAAATGAGGCAGACCACCAAAACAATGAAAACACAGTTTCTGGAGGTTTTATGATGAAATGATGATAGGGCCTGATCATGTATGAAACCTCCCTTTAAGTGTTGCTGTGCAATTTGACACTGAACTATAAAATGCGGTAAAATTGACATTTCATCCAGTTTTATACCACAGTTTTACAAATACACTTTTTAGATTTCTTTGTTTTTAACTATATATTTGAACTGGATGAAGGATTTCAGTCATTGGATGTTTGGATCTTCAATTATCAGAGTAATAAGCTAAGCAAACATTAGCATCAGCTTGACTCCCAGCCCCTCTGAGTCGGTGATTTTTAACATTAAACTGCTTTAATTAGTGTTTTTTTGGGGTTTTTTTCTAACCAAATTTCACCGCTGGGTCACTTTGTTTTGGAGAGGAGGAAACCTCTGCAGATAATTCAGCTCCTGAATGTCTGGATCAGAAGTTATCAGAGAAACAAGCTGAGCAAATGTTAGCAGCAGCTAGGCTAACAGCCCCTCTGATAGGTCTTGTGTCTGTTGCACAGCATCGGAGAACACTGATAGTTAACGTGAAGCTATTCTATTCAGTGTTTTTACCAGATGTAATCACGGGGTTCGTTTGTTTTGGAGAGGATGAGACCTCTACGGATAATATCCTGAACTACTGACACTGAAGGAATCCTAGAGAAGCTAACTGCAATGATGGCAATGGTGGTGAAGACAACAACTCTCATGATCCCACGCTACTTTGACGTCACCAAACTCCGTCTTATGTTATTGTTATACAAAATGACATGTTATGCGTTTAAATATTGCACTGTATGTGGCCTAATAAATGAGAAACAAACTTTGTAGGAGAAAAATACAGTGTGTTTGGGGGCTATGGTTACTTTTAATTTCAATTATATATGAGATTTATGTGCCAGAAAAGTCACTCCACAACTCTGCAGCTGTCTTTTTTGGAGTCAGTTGAGAAAGTGTTAGTTATGGCTACCTGCACCAGTTCTGATGGATGCAGGAGAGCCACTTGAGTCTTTAGCAGGCTGCCAGGATGCAAATGGTGCAGCACTGTGATGCAGCTGTGGAGAAAGCTTGCTTTTCTTTGGCAGTGGGCGATGGGCAGGCTGATAGCGATAAAACCTGGAATTACTGCCACCAGCTTTGCCAAGGGAAAGGAAAAGGCAGAGGGAAAAGCATTATAGCAGTTGTTACTTGGGTTAAAGGCAAGTAAGCTAAGATGCTGCATGGCAGGCGAATGAAAGATAATTAGCTTGATAACACTTTCCATGTGAAAGTCACTGGAGGGAAAACAGAATGCACTACAAGGTTTTAGGGCTGTTGTTGAAGACATCTTATATAGTCTGATCTTTACATTTAATGGCACAATAAGAAAGAAAAACATTTAATTGTGCCACTACATTTCTTAACCTATATATGGCTCCAAATGTCATATGTCTGTTCTCAGTTTTACCATTAAGTTACATTATATTTATACTACATTGTACTAGTTTATATTTTAATCACATAACATCTTTGTATTTTCTTGATACAAAATGAGCAAGATGTTATTTCCAACTAAGGGAATATTACATATATTTGAGACAATTACAAAAACAGAGGCTTAGCTCTGTGACAGGAATGTGATGGTGATGCATGTGAGGTAGAAACTGGATGTACACTGGACACACATTACAGTACACGTAGTCTAATACTAAATCATACCGATCCTCCTATTATGCATTATAATATGGTTTATTTAAATAAGAAAAAAAAACTAATAAGTGTTAGATCCATAGCAAATTTGTGTAAGGCATGACAAACACATGGATATCAGATGCGGGGGAGGAGGTAGCAATCCCTACATGTACCAACCTCCGATGATTGTGGTCCGGCTCTCCTGCGTCAGGTAGTTGTTGGCACCTGGCCGGACACTCTGCTGCTGCTGCTGGAAGCCTCGGTTAGAGTAATCTCCCAGCTGGACCTCCTGAAAACTCTCAGCACTTGCTACTTCGTCAGATGTTTGCTCAGTCGATTTGATCTCAAAGTGCTGACGGACCCTTGACGGGACTTGCGGGGACACTCGTGAGTTCAAAGGACGAACTGAGTGACTCTGTCGGTGCTGGGAGCGAGGCTGTGGGAAAATTCCCAGAGTTCCCGATGCCAGAATGCCAATGAAGCAGAGCAGTCCCCACGTTAATGAAGTCATGTTGCCTGCACGCAGCTCCCTGTCCCTCTCTGGGTGGCCTCTGGGTGTCCGACACTTCAGCTGAATGTAGCCTACTTATACGATCTGGTCCACGGCCCACAAGGCGTGGGGAACCAGAGGCCCAATCCAGAGACAGTTGGCGTGAGTGCAGGAAGGAGTTCCTCAAGTGAGGCTGGTTTCAGAGCAGCTGTTAACGTTTCTGTAATTCTGCACTGACACTTAATTCATTTGATTTGCAGGACTTCATATTCACCTTACATTCACAGACATTGTTTTTTATTATACATATATTATTTGATCATTTATTAATTATGAAACAACAATATTAACAATATATGGTGTGCATTTACATGTTAGACTGTTATAGTAGACTTAAATCAGCAATGCACTGGAGGGCTATAGGTAGGCCTATACAGGTGGAATGTAACTAAGTACATTTACTCAAGTACTCTACTATATTACAGTTTTATACTTAAACTCCACTACATTTCAGAAGCAAATATTTTGCCTGTTACTTCTGTACATTTAGTTAAGATACTTGTAAGATCAAAATTTTCATCATCAGCCGCAGCAGTAGCAAAATATAGAATATAACATGATGCATTGTTATAAATGAATCTACCAGCATTATATAATGTAGATAAAAACTTGCTCCACCTCAACCATTAAACATAAAAAAAACAATCTAATCAAATTATGAATGCAGGGATTTTACTTTCAATGGAGTCTTTTTAAAGTGTAATGTGACTTTTAGTTAAAGTTAAAGATCATCAATACTTCTTCTATCACTGGCTATAATCATTTTTCCTGAGAAGATGTTAATGTTTCATGCATTCAGAACCTTTACAGTTTTCCAAATTTCTTGACAGTTCATTCATGACTTTGTAAAACAGCAGCCTCCAACATTTTCATCAGCAGATGGAGTTTGCTCAGATCTCATGTAGATGTTAAAATTTTCTTCTATTCTGGGAACTTGCAGGACTTTTTGTCCAATAAATAACTATTTATATATATTTATCTACAGCGTTATTGCCTCTAGGTATGGAGATTGAACAAATGACATATACTTCATTTAACTAAAACACAAACATTTGTAAAGCACATTATACTAAGTGAGTGCAGTTTATATGTAGTATGCTGCCCTCTCATGGCCTGCAGTGCAAACTGTGCAAACTGTTTTCTGGGTCATTGACCTGAATAATAGAGACATGGGATGATTCAAAATACAACTGAAGATGGGAGATTGTAAAAACTGATAATGAATCATACATTACCATGAATGAATCATCTTCTGTGAGCCATTCAAATCACCCTGTGGTTCTCGTGCCAATTTATTGTTTTGAGGATGTGTTAGTAAGAGTAAGGATTTTGCATAAAGTTACAGATTCTGTCTGACAATGCAAATGATCTTGTGTGACTTCCCACAGGGGGAAGTTACATGAGAGCTGTTGTCCAGGAACCTGCTCATACTGTAGCGAGAGGAAATAAATGATCAGATACTACTATCTTGTCTCTGTGTATCCACAATGTTCTTGTCATGGTTATTTGTCAGTGTTATGAGTGTATTTCACTCTTGTTCGGGGGAGCATGGTCTACTGCGTGCATACTCTCCTGGGGACATCATCATTGGAGGACTTTTCCCTATTCACTTAAAAACCAACAGAACCACAGCAAACGGACCAATCTCCTGTAGCGTGTAAGTATGGCTTCACTGAGATTAGTCTGTTTAGCATGACCCATCACAAGAATGAATTCATTCAGAAATTTCATCTGTCCTTTGTCAATTTTTTGCAGCTATGACTTCCAGATGTTCTTACGCACTCAAGTTATGATATACGCCATCAGAGAAATAAACCAGCACACAGTGAGGATTCTACCCAACTTCACCATAGGATACGACATCTATGACACTTGTGGAGATGTTGGCCTGGCCCTCAGAGCAACACTTCAGCTGCTGAAGAACCAGTCGGACCCTCAGAGATGTTTACTACCTGCAAACATTCATTCTGCTTTACCTGACCCCCAAACAAAGGTGGTGATTGGTGAGAGGTATTCAGAAGTATCGATAGCTGTATCACGAGTTCTTGCTCTGTCATCAGTTGCCCAGGTTTGTTCTCTCTGATAATTACGACTAGAAATACACACAAAGCTATAATTATTATGTTTTTAAACTTAAATGCCTCACTGTTGCGATCTGCATGCAGAACAATTTCAACATGACTTAATTCCTGTTTGCTACAGATTAGCTATGGATCAACGAGCGAGGTGCTCAGCCAGAAGTTGAAGTTCCCCACTTTTCTGCGAACAATATCCAGCGATGAATATCAGACAAAGGCCATTGCTGAACTGGTGAATCGGTTTAACTGGAAAACAGTAGCCATTGTAGGAAGTAATGATGAGTACGGGAAGTACGGCAGCGACCGCCTTGGGGACACATTCAGAAGAATGGACATCTGCGTTGAATTTACTGACATTCTGCCTAGTTACTTTTTCCAGAACGATTCCAGAACACACGCACGGCTGGCTACTCTGGTGAGCAAAATCAATAAATCCACTGCTGAGGCCATCATCACGTTCACCAAGGGCAGCAATATTGAGATCATCATGGAAGCAGCTATTAAATTAAGACTCAACAGAACTTGGATTGCAAGTGACTCGTGGTCCACCTCTCCAAAGGTCTCTGCACTGCCAGGCGTCGAGTTGGCCGGGCAGGTTTTCGGATTCATCTCTAAGAGGAATGAGGTGCCCGGTTTTAAAGACTACATCATCTCAATGTTCAACAGCACGATCAATGACATTCTTGAGGATTACCTGGTTCAATTTCCACTTTGTTCCAATTGGTCAGAAGAGAGCAGAGAAAATGACTGCACAGTACCAGACGACCAAGAGCGGTCCAAGCACTGTTTGCACCCAAGGTGCTTGGCCAATTACATTGACCATGATGAATCATACAACATATACTTAGCCGTTCAAGTCATTGCTGAGGGTCTCAGACGTTTGCTGAAGTGTGACAACCAACATTGTAAACGTAACACCAAATTTACAGCCTCGGAGGTACAGTAATAATATCTTGCTGAGATATTTTACATTGCTCCTATACAGTATGTCAATAGCTCAACAGTTTTGGAATCCCACTTATTCGCTTTCTTGTGGTTAGATGAGAAGATCGATACCTTTCTCATGGCTGTCAAGTAAATATGAAGCTATACCCAGCAGCTGGATAGCTTAGCCTAGCATTAACACTGGAAACCAAGGGAGAAACAGTTAGCTTGGCTCTGTCCAACAGGAAGAAACCCCTGCTACCAGCAACTGTAGAGATCACCAATTAACATGTTGTGTCATTTGCAGAATCCATACAAAATCCAAAGTGTAAAAATGACAGTTTGCATTTTTTGAGACAACATGTCTTTACTCTTTGGTTTTTGTATGGATTAATAAGTAAGTCATAACATATTAAGTGGGGGTTGTAGATATTGATCTTTTCATGTGAAATGCTGCAAAATATTTGAAACTATTATTTAAAATGAACTAAAACTAAAAAATGTTTTTTTTGTTATTGATAAAGTATACCTCTAATATTCTACTTATACCACAAAGTTAACAACATTCTTGTATACTTTATCCCTTATATGACACGTTTTCTGTTTTATGAGTTGTTGTTTCACAAGTAATAGAAGTAATTATAGAAAATGTTTTTGATTTTGTTGTTGTTGGTTCATGTTGTTGTGTTTTGTTTGTTTCCACAGCTTCTCAAGGAAATCCAGAAAGTCAACTTTACTGTGAACTCCACACATATATTCTTTAACACCAACGGAGACCCCAATTTAGGATATGATATTGTATATTGGCACATGGACATATCCACACGGCGCATACACATAAAAACCATTGGAGAATACTGGCCAAATGAAAGAATAAAATTCGCAGATTGGCCATATATTGTTCAATATATGGCCAATATGAATGTAAGGTCAACGTTTCATCATATTTTATTATTTCCCAGAATAATTTATAAATATAACATTGCACTGATTTTGTTTTGTCCTTCAAAGGTAACTGTTTACAATTGCTCTAAAACGTGTAGCCCTGGGCAAGAGCTGAAACAGCAAAGTAAACAGTGCTGCAAGGATTGTGTTCCATGTGCAGACGGAGAGTTTTCCCGAGGAAATGGTAAGTGTTTTATCACAAATCTCAAGAAATAAAATCATTTCTATGGACGAGTGAACAGTCCCATTCTCATATATAAAGTACTGTCTTCTAAGAGGAATCCTATCATGGAAATATTACTAAGAATATCACATTTACTTCATAGGGGAGAGTTGGGAGGTATGTGTTTTTATGATCTGTAGCTAAGAGCGTACAAAATTGTAACAATAGTTAAGAAGGAAATTGTATTAAAAAGAATATTTGAATAAGGATTTATCTTCATTTATGCATTATTAACCATTTGAAAACCTGTTTTGCTCTAACAATGTATAATGTTACACTTGAAATGTTAATATAACAAATTTTACATCCCCAATCACACATTTTGAGTGGAATTAGCATTTACCAAAATTATGGTAAACATAACAAATGTTGCATCTCGTTTTCAAGACGCTCTATTTTTTAACCAACCAACCTAAGATCCACATGTACTGTTCTTTTCACTCTTACCACTGACATATTAGCTAATAGTCTTCTGCATCATGGCAAAATATACCTTTATGCTCAATGGGTGATTTAAGTATTTGATGCATCTTTTTCACCTTTTTTCAGTTCACAAACGAAAAGCAATAACAACAGCAAAACACAATCCTCTCTCTTTTCTGACTCCACCTCCACTCAATAATTTTTGTACAGTTCCTAAATAAGGAACTGTGTGTGTCGGCATGTGTTTTGACCGTACCTCTTCTCCTCTACTACTGAAGTCATAAACCAAACTGAAAGTGTTATTTACACCATGTTTTAAGATGAGAGCAAATGGAACTTGAGGCAACAGGTTACAATAAACAAAATCTGCTAAAACATTTCAAACTTTCATCTCATGTGTGAGAGGCATATTGACTTTGATGTTAAGGTTTTATTCTAATTGTTGCCTGCCAAATGTGTAAGGACAGTTTTACATGAATTTGCAAATGTTGGATAACTTTACACATGACCGTATCGTGAGTGTGACCCGATGCTGTGTTTGGGTACTTCCTCATTTATGTGAAACAAAATATTCTACATTTCAGGAATTGAAAGAAATCTATGATTTGTGCTGAATAAGCAAAAATATTCTTGTTTTCCATTTCTTTGTTTCCACCTGTAGGTGAGGAGTGTCAGAGCTGTGGTCTAGAGAAGTATTCGACTCAGCAGAGGGATGAGTGTTTGAACAAAACTCTTGAATTCCTGTACTGGACAGATCCCTTTATTATCATTTTGAGTTTGTTAGAAGTATTCGGGATTATTGTGACCATTGTGTTTACAATCCTGTTTACAGTCTATCGTAACACTCCCATTGTGAAGGCAGTTGGAGGCTATTTGTGCTTCTTGGAGCTTTTTTCCCTGCTCGCCTGCTTCAGCCTTACATTTACCTTCACAGGAAGGCCCACTAAGGTCTCCTGCATGGTGGGCCTGCCCCTCTTCGGCATTGCTTTTTCCCTCTGCATCTCCTGCATTCTGGCAAACCTGCTCCAAATCTTAGTGGGCTTCAGCTTTGAATTGAATAAAGGATCCTGGCTGAAGAAGCTCAATAAACCATTGGCTGTGGTGACCATCGTGTCTGGGATCCAGCTTGCCCTGTGTGTGCCATGGCTGTACTATAAACCCCCATTTCTAGACCAAGAGATATTGAGCATGACCATTCTGCTGCAGTGTGATAAAGGCTCCACTAAGTTCTTCATAGCCATGTTGGGCTATAACGCTTTCTTGGCCCTTATTTGTTTCATGTTTGCATTCAAAGGTAAACAGCTTCCAGATTTGTATAAAAATGCGAATTTAATCACCATCAGTATGCTGCTGTTTTTAATCATTTGGATCCTCTTCATCCCCATTTATCTCAATTTGGTGGGGAAGTACAAACGAGCTATAGAAAGTGCAGCCATACTCATCTCTAGTTACAGCATCCTGGGCTGTCACTTGGCCCCTAAATGTTACATAATGCTGTTCAGGAAAGAGATTAATAATGAGAACGCCATCACTGAATACATCAGGAAGCATTATGAGCAGAGAGACATGGCTGTGGTCAAATCCTGATCTCACACGCACATGCAAAAAAATCTTCGCAGGTGCTGGGTAACTATTATCTGCAGAGAAATATGTCTTTCCGTGGTTGAAATCATAGCCAGTGTCTCTCTCTCTGACTACTTTAACATGTGTTTGTGCCCACGAGAAGCTGGGTTAGACCTGGGCAGCAACCATCCTTATTCGGTTCACACATTTGAATAACTAGAGTATCACTACACTCTATGTACTTCATGTATTTGTGCTTCATATATCCTGAAGTCCTTGTTGTAGGTTTTTCACTACTCCTTCTTCACTGCTGTTACTACCACTGCTGCTAAATGAAAAAAAAAAAAAGATTAAAAATAAACTGTAGTGTGTTTGCAAGGTAAATATGCTGTAGGTGTTTTGGGAAGTTATGTGGTTCGCTTGAACTTTTTACCCACCTAAATAATTTATGTTGTCCTTTTTGTGTATATATTTTTTAGATAGTTTTTAACATTGTTTTAACGATGTTACCAAGACATAGTTTAAACATATAAACATGATAATCAGCTGTATCTTTACGTATCATTTTAAAAAAATCAATTGTTTGGTTAGGTTGGGCTTGTGGCTTCTGCCGCGGTGGATTTCACTACTTATATTTAGTATTGTGATTTTTTTTTTTAAATTAGACTTAGGTTATGTTTTTGTCAATAAAGACATTTTTTTGGAGAAATGCTCCATTATGACTGGCTGTATACTGTGAATAAGTTTAACTTTAACTCTCTTTGTTCACTGTATGGACAATGCACAAACACAAAGAGCTGTCTCCAGCAGCGAAATGTCTATCTAACCTGGTACACTTTTTCAGGGTTTATAAACGTATTTATTGTAGAACAGTCCAGGCGACCTCTGTGTGATCTCATGCAGAGCTGTGATTACTAAGATGTATCCTTAAAATGGATTCTTGTGTGTTTCAACATAATAAATCACAATAACAAAATACCAGTTTGACTTATAGGTTGTCATTTGTAATAATACAGTCAAAGAACAAACATAATTGCTGACTGAATTAACTCAAACTATATAACAAGTAGTGGAAAGAAATATGAAGTCATACAAAGTTGTGCATTAAAATACAAAACAAGAGTCAATAATTTCATCGGTAATATTACATCCATATCGGTAGTATTAGCACAGTGGAAAGGAACAGTTCCTCTCCACTGTGCTAATACTACCAATATAGATGTAATATTACCGATTATAGATAATCAATACAATAAATACATCATATTTTCACTACAGGGTAACCAACTCCCCTTTAAAAATAGTCAATATTACCCAAATCCCAAACACACAAAATATATCCCCTTTATCCTTATGGTGAACAGGCAACAGATTTCATTGAAACTTGGTTGCGAAATTGTTCTGACAACTTTTCTGTAGATGAAGTGACTCTCTGGAACAAAGCTGATAGGTTATCTTTAAGATTAGACATGCTTTACAATCCAGTTGTTGCTTCGTGTAATATCTATAAAAGGTAGGAATTGAATTGAAGTATAGCATATTATATTCCAGGAACATACAAGCATTTGTAAAACCTTTTTTGTCTTGATTCTACAAGGACATGCAAAATCAATTGCTTCGTGTGTGTCTGAAGCACAGTTGTGAGTGGGAGGTAGATGACAGTGAAAAGCAGGAACATTCATTAATGTCACAGCTGTTGATCTTGGAGTCTACTCAACTGTGGATATGCAAAGTTGAGAATGTCATTCCCTGCTTTCACCACTAGATGGAGCTCTTGAAACATCCTGTGAATCATCCATAGCTCCTGTGTAAGCGCTACAGTGATTGTTAATATGCATATGGCCCATTTGTACAAAACACACAACATCCATATTTCGGCTCTGCACCTAAAGTTTAATTTATTAAAAAAATACAAAACTTCAAAAAGTTTCCATAGGAAAGCATTATGAATTAGCAATCCCATCTCTTTCGAGTCAATTTCAAATGGTATGGTTATACACTGCTTCTAATTAATACCATGAACAGATTTCTTGCCTTATACAAGTTAAAAAAAAACAAAAAAAACATAGAAAGACAACAAGATAAGGAGGAGAAGAGAAGGGGTGCAGTCTGCTTTTTGAGTCCCTGTGTTCTAAGTGTTAATCTTGAAGATTTGTTTTTGGTGGCACCTGCAGTGTCTGGTGACATGGACAAATGTGAAGATTATATGGCTGGTAGCTGAAATGTCTGTTTAGTAAATGCATGGACATTGCTTTCAAAAAAGTTGTTTCAACTGCTGCAGCCATATCGGCACACAGTCACACTTTATAGTGTTTTGGCATACAGAGTAATGCTTATGGTATTTCCTTTGAGTATACATATTCAGATTTTGCATGGGGAAAAAGTAGCTCTGGCCATAAGCAGCAGAGAAGCATTTACAGAACATAACACACCGAATAGCTATCATATGAAAAAAATGAAAAAAAAAAAACAAAAGAATAAATATAGCATTCCTTGATATGTTAACATCTTTAGGATTAACACTTGAGGGGTTCTGTACAGAAGTGGAGATCATGGAAAAGATAAATATTAACATAGCAGCCTTTTTTGAGGAATTAAATCACCCCTCCAACCACCTCTTTGCGAGTTACTAGCTAGGGATGTGACTTCAGCTGTTAACAGGGCTTTGAAGGGTCAGCAGTTAAATCACCAACCCCCCTTACATTTTACATGTCAAACAGCACTGGTTACTGCCTAAGCTGTAAGCAATCTGCTATTATTCTTTTTTTATATTATTAAATTAATAGCATGAGTAACCCTTCACCTCCCAGACTACTGCTACAGTTTCAAGTGTTGTGAGTCCTGTGGTGAAGGGAAACCTTCAGCAAAGTAGTTTTGCAATTTATTGTGAAAAGCAACTGTTCATTTCCCCTACACTATTCCAACTAAGCAAATAGGTTCTTCATGAACTACAGTACTCCAGTTCTTGCAGTCATTGCCCCAGGGTAGGGCAAGAAGACTGCACAAACAAATTCAAGTACAGAGTTGCCCTGTAACACTCTGCCCAGAACCCATAGAGACACTCAGAGTGTGATTCAGCCTCATTTCATTGTGGGTTGATCCCCAGCTTCCATACAGAACAGAAATTGTGCAACAACATGTCCCTCTCATTCCCCTGTCAAGTAACTGGCCTGGGAAAATTCACGTACATTTGAGGAGAAGGGGAAAGGAGAAAAAAAAAAAAATCCAAAAAGAAACCTTCGCCAAAATTTAATAAAGAAGGATGATAGATCTGGAGAACATTGCTGTGTTTAAACCACACGGGTCTGGCAAGGCTTGGTGGGCATCTCCAAGCTGCTCTCTTGGCCACAGCAGGCAGACACCTCGAATGGGCCAGACTCCTCTGCAGGAGCTGGCATGCCCTGGGAACGAATCTGCTGCACTTGTTGCCTAGAAGAGAAAGAATGCAGATAAGTTTAGATTCTCTAGGAACACAAGATACACTTAAACCTGCAAAATGTTGCTTGTGAGACAACAACCAGTATTAGCTACCACTTTCAGCTCCTGTGACATCACTTACCAAGCAGGGCGGGACATGACATAGTGAAGGTCAGGTCTTTGGAAGCCATTGAAGGTGGAGGAGGCAGCCATAGTGTAGGCACCCATGTTCTCAAAGACCAGCCAGTCGCCCACCTGCAGGTCGGGCAGGTTACACTGCTCAACAATGCGATCGAGGCCATCACAAGTTGGGCCCCAGATACTGCAGGGGTACATGGCCTCATCTGGCTTTGGTTTCTATTAGTAATAAAAGGAGAAAAAGAGAAAAGATGTTTACCACAGCACAACCTTTCATATGTATGATGAAGAACTTTTGTTGACATTTCAATCCTTTATTTTCAATTACCTTATGCAGTATTGGCAAGCAGTGAGCATGGTCAAAGAGTATACAGTTGAAAGATCCATACACTCCATCATTGACGTAGTACATCAGAGTCCTGTCAGTGGTCCCTTCATCTTCCTCTGTGAAGAAAAGCATACAGAATTAATTTTACTGCTGAGAAAAGTTACAAATCTGCTTTCAGAATAAACTCTTAGTAAACCATGATCATTTTTCTATATCAAGGCTGTTACCGTCAGAGTCCTCATCCATGATGACCTTCTTGGCAATGATGTTGACAACCAGTGTGAAAGCAGAAGCCACGTAAAAACGTCCTGGCTCAGCAATGATCTTAACACCAGAGTCAGCAGGGAAATACTTGTCCAGGGCTGGGTTGAGTACAGCTGTGATCTAGAGGACAGAAAGTGACCACATGTAAATCAGACTGTGAAAGCACTTGTCTTGTTCTAGTATTAGTGATGCTCTGCTGCATGATGGCTGTACTGCCTTGTTTTATTTAACTAAGAGTCCAAACACATGAATAAAGTGTTTAGTCTGTGATACACCATCTAAATTTATAATGAAAAACAAAAAGGAAGCAGTATCTTACCTCTTCAAATTTGAGTTCAGTATTGTCTGAACCAGGGAAACCACCACCAATGTCCAAGAGATCCATGTTGAAGCCAAGCTCATCCTAGAGGACACAAAATTAAGTCTTGAGTCTTTGTTTACTTTGCTGGATAAATACCTTCATAAATCAGTTGTTTATACATATTTCAGCCACACTCACCCCCATATGAAAAACACAGCGGGCATCAGCGATAGCCTGTGCATAGGTGTTGGCATCAGTGCAGCCACTGCCAACATGGAAGCTGACGCCAATCACATCCAGCCCCAGTTCTTTAGCCCGCTCCAGAAGACCTCGACAAGCTTTGAGTGGGGCTCCAAACTTCACACTCAGGCGACACATCGCTTTTGAGTCATCCGTGGCAATACGCAGAACTAGTCTGGGCACAAAACAGAAACAAAGTTAGTGAAAAGACAAAAGGCGGCAGATTGATAAGACACCACCTAAGCCTTTATATAATGATTGATTAAGAGTCTTACTTGGCATTGGCATGACAGCGGGCCACTTTCATGAGTTCCACCTCACTATCAAAGGTCATCATCTGGATCCCATGGGCAGACGCATACTTGATCTGAGAAACTTGCTTGCAGGGGTTTGCATAGATGATTCTGCTTGGATCCACTCCCAGAGACTGAACCAGCTGAATCTCCGTCTAGGAGGGGACAATAAGTACCAATTTAAAAACACAGGCTACCAAAGCAATTTCAGATAGCCATCAAGAGAGGTTTGTATTCTGACAACATGAAGTGCTTTGGAGTTTTTCCCAACACACACCTTGCTCGCGCAGTCAAAACCGCTTCCAAGAGATGCCAGTGTCATAACTATGGCCCGGCTGTCATTGCATTTGACAGCATAGAAAGGAGTCACACGAGGCAGGGCCCTCATCCATCGCAGATGTTTCTTAACCACATCTCCCAAGTCACAGACGTAGAAGGCATCCCTGTCATCCTGTAATGGAGGAGATGAAATGACAAATGCATTAAATGAGAGCAGTCCTGTAACAAACATAATATTTCAATAAACCAATAGATCATAGACTTAAACTACATTATGTTTTTAATATTAGAATAGCAGCAATCATTTGCATCATTTGATTTAAGAGTTAATAAAGAATTAAAACATCTAAAATAAAAAAATCAGACAGTACAAATACAATTTCAGTGAAATCTTTGAGTTGCAACCTGTTGACATTCGTCAACTAACAAATGGGGCCATCAGTGTCCCCCCCCTAAACAATGCCAACAGAGGACACTTGCCGTCATAGACTCGTTGATCTTCTGCTCAACAATATCCCGGGCAGAGAAACCCTCCTCCAGGAAAGAGAATTCAAACTCGGTGGGAGTGGCAGTGTTCATGGTCACAAGGAGTCCTTTTGATTAGTCACTAGTAAACTGTAAGACAGGGGAGGGAAAGGCGAGGGTGTGATATTGAGATTACATTCAGCTTTGAGAACACTGTATTTTGTGTCCTTAATTACTAAAGTCTATTTTATTCGCCACTCATGGAAAAGTCTCAATCACTCCAAAAGTGAGTCATTTTCAAACACTGTCCTTGAATAAATAAAAAATTTTGACAATATCAGGAGTGTAAGATGTCAATGCAATATTGAATCAAGCTGCAAACAAAAGACATTGATACACTTACCTGGATACAAAAGAGATGGAATTTAGTGTTGCTGTTACTCAGGTGCAGAGAAGCCAAGGTGGTTCACCAGTGAAGTTAAACCCCTTCAAATAAGACTCAAGGCCAGGGCCTGCTGAGTAGCCAGTGTGCGATTTCCTAGAGTTATGATTCTGTTAACAAAAGGAGTTGACAGAATTAACATAAAAACTGAATTTCCTTTGGGGGGGAAAAAAGCAGGATCAGGAAAGTAGTCACATAACTATTTAAGGACCCTACTTTAGTGAGTTTAAGGATCATGATTAAACAGTACAAATTCCAATATGCATTTAGTCTATTTCAGGATTTTATATTTATAAATTTAAAACAAAGTTACGGATTATTCAATTAAAACCCATAATAATCGACGAGACTTCAGGCGTGCCAAGACATACACGTTAGTGATCAATAAACCCGTAGTTCTCCAGTCTTTAACTGCGCTCCATTTTATAACTGTCTCATGACAACTTGACACCATATGCAAAAAAAAAAAAAAAAAAAAAAAAAAAAAAAAAAAAAAAGTAATTGAAAAAAACCAAATGCTTAAGCCCCGCCCACTCAAGATTTAATCCAATTAGCAAAAGATCCGCCTTCAAGTTAAAAAAAACGAGCACGAAGATGGACCAATCAGTGGCTAACAAATTACGCTGACGTTAATATGCCGGTTCCGCTTCTTCATGCCATGAGGTGGTTTAGCATTGAAAGTTACCGCTAATGTGGTTTATACAAGTTAACAGAAGCAAATCAAAAATGTGTTCAGCGTAACGTCAACACATCGAAGTCATTTGGCTTAAAAAGCTGCCATATCAGGCTTACGTTATGCCGGTTAGCTACCAAGGTTAGCTAACACAGATAAGATAACTGTTAACCAGCCGTCTGCCACACCGGCCACGTCCTAATGTTAGGTAACACTCGATTCAATTTTTCAATATATTGACGTTACGGTTACTGTGAAATATCACGAATACTCTGCCCCAACAAATGCTTTTCATTGTTCTTTTCAAACCGCCATAACTGAACCAACCTGCCAGCTAACGTATGCTAATGTAAAACTGAAAAGCATTTAAGCTCAAATGTGACGTTCTTGGTACAATGACATCGAAAAGTCCGCACATACCTTAAAAAGCATTTACAAAGAGTTTGTCCATGAGACCCGAAAGCTGGGATGAAAAAAAGAATACAGCAGTTCCCCTTCACAAAGAAGCCCGCTGCAGGAGGTGTAGCTTCTCGAGCAGTTCTGAAACTGGAGTGGAGGCTAGTGATGAGTCCCCTCAGTATTTATAGAGAGCTCGTTACTAAGGCAACGCAGCCAGCTGAAACCGGCCTCTCATCCACGTATGAACCGGTTTAAGCTTGTCACCTCATCCACATGGTGGGAAAGACAGACAGACAGACAGACAGGGACCACAAGACAACTACCACACACTAGATTACTAAAGGTAACTGTGAATTGAAACAGGCCTTCTATCAATGTAAACGTTAAGCTTAAGGACACTGTGGTAAACTCAAGTCAGACAGGGCCCATAAGTACTCACTGGATTTTTCTTGGCACAGTTTTCAGCTTTTTATGTAAAAAAAAAAAAACTTGACCTGCATTGTTTGTTTCACCAGGTTTTTCAGGTATTTCTTTTTTTTTTATGTTAAAAAAGGCAGTATCTTTGACTATATGTTTGACTGCAACCAGATTCCTAACAATTACCTGGTTATCAAATCTGAGGATTTGATGCTTTTCTTTGTCACATTTCAAAGTGAATTGAATATATCTTCTTTTTCTTGGTTTTGCACTGTTCAGATTAAACAATCAGTCTGAAAAAATCACATTGTGCTCTGAGAAGTTAAAATGGACATTTTAATTTTATAGACAAAAGTGATCAATCAAGAAAATAGAACAAATCATTATACTGGCAGCCCTCACAAGCATATTTCATGCTTATATGTGACTTCATGATGATGACGATGATTGCAGGTGCAGGATTAGCATGGCCAGCTGTGATAGAAGAAACCTGCACTGCATGTGTGTTAATCCCAGGGATGCTCACTCACACTGGCAGACTGCACCAGTCTGCTGCTCCCTGCACTGGCTCAGTGGTGTGACCTGGCTCGACAGCAGCCTTCTCAGTCTCACTCTGAGTTCTTGACCTGCCTGATGGGATTAAAGGAGATCACAAGATGAGTCAAAATGGCAAGGTATCAACACAGGCACATATGTCGCAACAGCTCTGCAATGCCCAGTTCTGTAGATGTAGATATACAATGAATGCACTCATGATGATTTCTCAAGGGGCACATTTTTTAGATCTATATTTCTCCAAATGGTGAATATAGTGTGCAGGATTTAAAAGTTGTCTCTCATGGTGCTAGTACTTCTAAACAGTAAAATGCTTTCTTTCTTTACTGCACAGTCTAATCAGCCCAAATGTTGCTTTCATAGACATTTGGTTTGCAAGCAGACATTACCGAATGGAGGAAAATGAAGAATTTGGTCAATGTGACCCAATAGTACATGTGGAAATGTTGCACAGCCATCAGTTCCAGGATACTAACAGGAAACTTTAGGGCTTCATGAGGACCACATATCTGTGGGCTTAACTTAATATCTTTTCCAGGTCTTGAGGCCACAATCAACATGGCATTCTACTCGGTGCACAACAGGGTTTCCATTCAGATCTTTTGCAGAGTTGGTGAATGAAGTCATGTTTTCCAAGCAGTTTAATTATCAAAAACAAAAAAAGCACCGCCCTTTCTGAATTGATCAAAAAGTTAAAATGGGGTTAAGTGGCAAGCTTGTATGATGACACAATCTGCAATCGTTTTTATACATTACTTTTTTCCTGCCCTGAATCTGAACTTGAGCAGGCCTCCCCTCCTTATGCAAACCCCATGCCTCTCAGGCAGGATGTGGGCTCACACTTGGGGGACTAATTCGTTTTCAAAGTTCAACATCACAAGATCACAAAACCCTTAAAATGTATTAGCAAACCAAATAGACTGTTTCTCTTCACTCCAGTCATTTCCTTCTGTTTCTGTTTTTGTCTCTAAATGTCTGCGTTCCTACCATCTCCTTCACCCCTCTCCTTGTCCTCCTCTTGTAATGTCTATCTCTTGTTCTGTGTTGACTTCTGTTATCATTACTGTGGACCATTGTGGCCTCACCCCCACATCTACAAGGGTTCACAAAGGATGATGATTGTTAGTGGCCACCCACAACATACAGTGCAGTGTATGGGACTTGGTGACTGTGTGTTTGTATTTCCCTTCACTTCTTTGTTAACTCACATTTGCACAATGAAATGCCACAGTAACTATCCAGCTCAGTTTGCATAACATATCTTGTGATAATAAGCAAATGTAGAAAACCAAGAGAGTGGTGTAGACTGTAGGCTTCTTTATTTGTACCAAGAAGAAGAAAGTTGATGTTTGGAACAAATAAAATCACTCAAGTGAAATTCTTCTACACACATTTACTCTGCATTTACTCTGCATCATGCAGTGTTTTGGTGAGACATCGTGTTTTGAATGGTTCCATTTACTGAGCTATGACTAGTGTTTCATTTGCACTTAATCACATGACAGGAAATACTGCCTGTAAAAGGTGCCAAGTTGTTACATAATAACCGACACACAGTTACACATGAAATTAGTCTGCATAAACCTGTTGTCAACAACAGCTGCTGATTCATTCACTCATTTCCACCGACTCATTTATTCAAACAGCCATGCGTCTGAGGGGTCAGCAGTGGAGGATTGCAAGTGTTTAGTCTTCATAAGAGGTTAAGGCTTGACCTCAATATGCCTCAGCATTTTTGACTGGCCCAGACAGCTATTTATGAGACCGGAAATCCTAGTATTTCTTTGCATGGTCTTGAGCAGATGGCACCTGAGGTGTTTCTTCACTCTTTTGACTATAATTCTCTTATCATTTCATATTAGACAGGGTGACTTTGACGGGGGAAACCCCCACCCACCCAACCAGCAGCATGTTGACACACAGATAGCTTAATCAACTTAAAACTCTGACGACGCCACAGACTCCACACAGACAGCTGGGTAGAATTAAAACCATGGTACTGCACAGCCACTGAACCACTAAAGGCAAGTGGATTGTTGTGAATTGTATTTCAAGCCCCGAATTTAGGTACAAACCTGATGTCGGTTTCATTACGTCAGTGCAGGTTGGCATGAAAGGAGAGGGAGATGCAACACATCAAACAAGAGAGACTACTTACTGTGACAGAAAAGCCAAGGAAAGAGGAAATGTCAAGATCAGTATTTTCATCAAATTACACAGACAATGGGTGGCTTGTAATTTTGGTCCCGCTGCAGTGTCTGACATGTTACCACAATACCTTAAAAAAAAAAAAGTTAATTGAACGTTAGGTCTTGTGGGTCTCTGTTGACGGGACTCGTCCATTCATTCACAGGACTGATGCCACTCTAATCCTGCCTTCTTGACATCTTGTCTGGGTAATCTATTTTTAGATGCATGTCCTCACCCTCTGTACCACACACATACAGAAATTGCATTTATTTTTAAAGGGCACTCTTTGAACTTTCCCCTTTTTTACTGCACAGTGCTGGAATGTATAAATGGCTCACCACCACCAATAAAGTCAACACTCTTCCTTTCCTTCTGTCTTTTTTTAAAGTTAGTCATTGTTGAACAGCAGCAACTGTGCTGCAAGTGGCAATTATAGGATAATGATCATTTATTAATTATTTATTAACTCTCAATTTGGATGAGGAAGAATGTGTTATGTCCTCTTTAAAAACCTATTGTCCCCAGTGGAAACAAAGTTAACTATGTTGAATTTGTAGTACAGTTCTACTGTGGTGTAATACAATATACCACAACAGAATTAGTTTTCTTAGCTTTCACTAAGAAAAAATACTAAGACCCCTGAACACTAAAAACAGATTCCAAGGTTTATATTCTAGTTATTTTAAGCTAATTTCTCATTATACAGCACAGTCTGAAAACAAAACAAGGTGATGCAACAACCAATAAATTTTATAGGGGGCTTATTACAAATTGTTCAAAGCCTTGGAGGCTCTGTCCCTGCTGACTGTGTCTCTGTAGTCAGTACACAATATAACCAAACAGCCCCAAGCCCAGGCAAACAACCTGCAGCAGCTGCATAATATGACAACTTGCATATTGTTGCTAGGAAGTTAAATACACATAATAAAAATAAATAAACAAACAAACAAATAAATAATGATAGTTATAATAATAATAATAATAATAATAATACACTTTATCTGTATAGTACCTTTCATACAAAACATGCAGCTTTACATTTAAAAATGAATAAAAACAGATGGCAACAGAGGAACATTTACCCATTATGAATTATATTCCTGAATATAAGAAAAATGCTCAAATATTATGAAATTTGCATGTAAATACTATATATTATTAAAATAAATTATTTCAATTAAGCCTAATTACAGTCTAAATGTTATCAAAAGGTCATTATAATGAAATTAGCACTTGCAGCGTGTAGCTGCCCCACTTGTCAGCTCAGTCCCTGGAGTGATATGAGAGGAGAGTTTGTTTAATCTGGCTCTCTGCTGACTCATCATTTCTTCTTCTTTCAAGGTTGAGTTGCCCAGAGTTAGTCCGCTTGGGAGTGTGGAGACCAAGGCAAAAAAAAAAAAAAAAAAGAAAAAGAAAAAAAAGGCAAAAAAAAAAGGGTGATCATATTTTCACTGAACATCTTTTGTGCTCTCCTGGATTGGCTTGAAGCAGGACAGGCTGCATCAGCACATTTCACTGCTTTGATCCTTTTGAAGAAGAAAGGATGAAGACAAGGCTCAGTGCTTCACATTTTAGGTGTCATGGTTGTACCATTAACACAGTATTATTTGCTCTACTAAATTTAAGATGAAAGGAGGAGAGGCAAAAGAGCAAACCATTGCATATATCTTAGACCTCCTATGGACACATGCAAAGTCACGGCAAAGTTGGCAATGGTTGACCTAATCAAAGTTCAAGTGCTTGATGATCACTGAGGGATATATATTTCGCAGCTGAGACGCTGTGCATTTGATACTGTGAAGCCTCCGTCTTAATGGGGGAAGATGGACAAGCGATGTGGCAGAGTGGCTCCAGCTCAGACACTCAGAGAGCAAGGAACAGAGTGGAGTTAATTGATATTCCTATAAAGATCCAAAATAAACCTAACTAATGGTGTAGCACCATGGCATCATTATCTCCACTGACATGCTGTAGTATGAGCTTAACTCCATGTCATCTTTGCCTTTATCTTTTAAAGTAGGCAAAACAGGCAGGAACAGACTACTACTACTACTTTACACTACGCAGATACATGAAAATTAAAGACTGTGCAGATGCACACACTGAGTGAGTCAAGCTTGTGAGTTAAACAGTTTAATTTTGAAAATAATAATAACACAAAATGAAGTTAAAGATCAGGTAACAGAACTAATCAAATAGACTAGTTAAAGACGTTGCACCCTGAGGGCCCAGTCAAGAACTGAACAAGTTTGACCACCAAGCCCATTCAGATTTCACACTGCAGTCTCTTTTAGGCGAACGCTGCATGTTTGAGCTCAAATAAGATTTTTGTATTTTTACGGACTCTTACGTCAATACTCACAAATAAGTTTACAAGAGACATCTCTGCAGGCTATGTATCTTCAAACTTCCACAATATGTATATGAGGTTCAAATACACACTGTTGTTTCTTCATACTTGCATATCAAAGCGACTATGGGCTAAAATGTGTTTTCTCACTTTCCTCTAGCCATGTAGACAGTTTTGGCTTTAATGATCCAGATTTTAAAATTTGAGAGATTTCTGCTGCCAACCCAATACAATGGAGGTGAATGGAATTTTACTTCTGTTGCTCACAGCATTTAAAGCTACATTTAAAACAAGATTTTACAGCCATGCTAGCACTAGTACAGCTGTGCTCTTAAGGCTGTATTTAGCACGGCTAGCAAGTTAAATGCTAATGCCGGCATATTAACAAGCTGGCAATGGCGATGCTAACATGCTAAAGTTCACCATCTTAGTTTAGCGTGTTAACATTTACTTATTAGCACATACACAGAGTACAGCTGCAGGTATTTGGTTGTAAAGTATCACAAAGAATTGGACAGAAGTTTATTTGAGAATTTTTCCAGAAACTTATGGTATGTAGTGTAGCACTGTGGTATCATTATCCCCACTGACATGCTGTTGTGTGATCTTAACTCTGTGCCATTTTTGCCTTTATAAGGGAATGATATACTGCAAAACTCCTAAGTCAAACCATGACATTGTGGTAGCATGGTATGTATCTTACATGACTAGCAACATATTTTATACCTTATTTAAGGTGGCAACGACTTTTAAAAGGAAGTTACATTATCTACATCTACATTATTTACACTATGCAGATACATGGAGATCAAGGGCTATGCCGATACTTACATAAGTGAGTCAAATTGAGTGTACAAGTGAGTCAAGCTCAGTCAGCCAAGTCAGTTTGAAAAGGTATCCTTCTATCCTTTGAGCAAACACTGTACATTTGAGCTCAAATAAGGTTTGTGTTTTCAAGGATTCTCATGTCAATATACACTCATAAGTTTACAAGAGACACTTCTGCAGGCTATCTATCTTCAAACTTTTACAATATGTATATGAGGTTTAAATACACATTATTGTTTCTTCATATTTGCATATTCAAGTGAGGCTCAAATGTGTGAATATGTGAATGAAGGAAAAAAGACAAGTCATGTACATACAGTGGAGTCCAAAAGCATATACATAGCAGACATGTTGGCTGTCAATGTCGCAGCCAATTTAATAATGTAATAATAAATCCGAGTAAATGGAGGAGCTGCTGTTTTTCTGGGTAAAAAGTACAAGTTGTTTTTATATTTAAAGGGTTTATGATGTTAAGTTTTCTCTCCAGTTACTTATAATTATGATAGTTTATGTTATTAGTCCCTACAAAACCTGTTGACAGTGCCTACTGTGGATTATCCAGAGTAATCGACACACTTGCTCACAAATTTTGATCTGAGGAAACAGGGAGTGACTCTATGATGGAACCACAAACCTTCATCAGATACTGCATGCTTTGATTCAGTCACATTAAAGGATGCTTGGTTTTCACTTCTTCTGTGTTTACAATTCAATCTGAAACACACTGATTCTGTATTGCGCTCTATCCTAATGTCCTACTGCGACCAAGCTGTTTGATCATTTCAAGTAAAAACATGACTGCTGCTTGAGAAATTCTGCAAGACAGAAATCTGTGGGTCTACGTAATGGTTTGGGTTACGAGGCTTACAGAATATTATAGCGCATCTCTGGATTTTCTGTGGATATTCAGTATGTTTCTTTATTCTTTGTGACAGCTTTGGTTGACCCACTTCCTGTGGCCTGATTGCCAGTTGTCATGGTGAAGTCAAAGCATTGTGAGAGAAAAAAGGGGCGATTTGCCTGGAACCCAGACTAAAGAACTACACCAGATGACACAGCTAAATGATGTTTTCTTCTACACTGGGGCAGTGTCACTGGTTTCCCAACAGGAAGGAGTAAACTAGGATGGAGCTTTGTCATCTAGCCTCAGTAACACACTTTCTACTGATAGAAATCTCTAAACAAATACTTGGGTTAAAAGCTTCATGTTCATCCTAGTGTGATGACAGATGAGCTCCTCCTGGGGTTTGGATTGTTCTGCAGGTAGTTTATTGGTGTATCTGGAACACCTGAGGTGCCCAGTGTTTTCAGGTTTGCATAACTTTTGGCTGCAGATGAACCACTCCCTCTGCTCCTCTCCACATCCTGGGTTTGGTTACGTTATCTTTTGGTGGATGTTGTAAGGGAGCAGCATTTGTCTCTAAACTAGTTTTGGTTTGTTTTATCATGCACACCCTTGGTTTTGTAGAAGCCGAGCTTCCCCTTTGCAGGCTGAAGTGGTCACTCTCAACAGGAGACCAACCAGTTTGTCGTTGTCACTTCAGTGTGGTGGAGAATGTGGGTGAAGACGATGTCTTGGGAGCATTTCCCTAGGTTTGTAGCGGGTTGCCAGTTTCTGGTTGCCTTTTAGCTCTAGTGGAAGGGTTAGGGTTAGACTAGGACTGAAACTAGTTGAATAGAAAGTGGAATCAGTGAGATAGGGTTGGAGAGCCTGGACCCAAACTTTGTCTATAGGTTTATGATTTTAAACATTCAATGGCTGGTATTGTAAATCTATACCTGTTGTCTGATAATATGTGAACTTGATCCTGGTACGCCTCAGGATGTCTAGGCATTATAGCACAATTTGGTTAGGTAAGTGAGGCACAAGAATCAGTGCAGTGAGGAAGCAGTCTACCTCATCTGTTGTTGCATGTTTCAACGTGGTATTGTTTTTTAAGCACGGCAGCTCATGCTTTGTTTCGTGTGAGCATAGTTGAAGCTGGGTTCCCTCTGTTTTCGTGCCTTGGGGCAATTTGGTTTGCTAGTGAGCCTTTTGTTTAGAAGAACCTGTGGGTGTACAACTTTGGTGTCATGCTACATGTTAATTCCAGTGGTAGCTGGAGTTTTGTGTGGGTAGGGCGTTGACTTTGCTTTGGACACTTGTGATGAGCTTTGTTGCCCATTTTGGCCAACACATCCTGATGTGTGCTTTGGTTCAACGGTCATATTTCATATCATATTGACCATAGGCCTCACTTTCCTGCATTCTGAGGCCAGCCATGTTCCTCCAGCCCCAGGGTTGGACATTTAAAATATCAAAGATTTAGACACTGCAGATTGGCTCGCTCAAAGCATCTCTTTACCAGTCCTTGAGTCTAGAAAATGACATGTTTGTTAATCTCCTCATAGTACTCATTTTTGTTTTATGTGGCGTGCTGACATTACCCTTGGCTGCAGACTAACTCTCTGGACATTAACCCTGCGTCTTAGCTTTGGTTATGTTATCTTAGTTTATCCTTATTTTTGTTTTGCACCTTACAAACACCCACATCCTTCAATCACGTACACCACACATCGTTCACATTACTAATTAGCACAACCCATGTGATTATTTGATTTGGTCCACTAAAAATATTCTTTATTAACTATAATCCATGGTGTGTCTCCCCTTTGTTGTGTACACCTGAACGAAATCATAAGCAATGAATTTCGTTTTGAAAGTATGTTAAGTGTCAGGGTTAGGATGTCATCATGCCAGTTAACGTACAAGATTAAAGAAATAGTTTGTTTGGGGAAATACATTTAGTTGCTTTGTGGCTGTTTATTAGATGAGGAGATGAATATAACTGGTTAGCTTAGCTTAGCATAAAGACAGGAAACCAGCTCTGTCCAAAGGTAACAGTTCCACCTACTAACACCTGTAAAGCGTATTAATTAACAAATTATGTAAAATGAATGTAATCCATACAATTAGCTGTTTTATGGTGGGGTTATATGCGGCTCTATTTCTCTCAGACAAGAAATATTCCATAGACCCGGCACATAGACCCCTGTCATTTTTTACATTAATTTTGTTTTTTGTATGTATTGAACAAATGAGATATATGGACTGAGTCAGAATAGCTGTTTCCCCATTTCCAGTCTTAATGCTAAGCTAAGCAAACTGGCCAGCTCTATGACTTCATATTTAACGTAAAGATATGAGAGTTGTATGAGTCAATCGTCCGACTCTGCAAAATAACTACTTACTTAATACTTAAAATACAAAAAAAATGTCTACTTTTACTATTTTGATTTTACATACAGGACTTTTACTTGTAATGAAGTATTTATACATTGCTGCACTGGTACTTTTACTAAAGTTAAGGGCCTGAATACCTCATCCACCACTGCACAAACCCTGCCAGATGGCTCTTGGTGAAAAAGCATGGTGACACCAAATTAGTTCAAATGAGCCTGGGGGACAGTTTGGCATGCTGAGGGCTGAGACGCACCTCCCTCCCATTTGAAACGGGCCAATGCAGGAGCAGAGGGAGTTCACACCATCAGCACACTACACTGGGGGATGGGGAGGACACCCAAGCAGTCCTTCTATTTCCAAGAACTGCAGTTGTTGGTGGGGTAAAGGAAAAAAAAAACCTTTTTCCTCCCCTCCTCTTTCTTCTGACGCAAGTGGATAGTAATCTGCTGCAAAGGAAGCACGCTCTGGTTTGACTGAGTAGCTACACATTTTAAATTCATTCTGGTGCTCAGTAGAAAATGGTGTATTTTGCAATAAAAACAAAGCACAAGGGTTGTTAATCCAGTGTTGGTTTAACAATATACAATAAAAAGAAAACGATCATTTTACACACATCTTTTCTGCAATCCATTAAATGAAATAGGCTCCAGTGAGGAGCAACAATAAGAAACTAGACGTCTGAGACAAGGCAGGTCATGTCAAGTCCTTTCAGCTCTTCATATCTCTAATTCCTTCTGGGGCCACCCCTCCAAACACAAGTATACAGTCAAGGTACTTTTCGATAATGGCATGAGCATTATATGCACGCAGGCAGCAACATAAGTAATCTTTTTTGATTTGCTGAGAGCAGCTAAACACATTGCTCAGACCACCCAGGAGCAGGTCAGGCTCGTCTGCTCATCAGTGTCAGTCTCTGCCTTGTGTCTCCCTAGAATGTCCCTAGAGTTTAAAAGCAGCAGTCTTCAGCACTTGAAGACTCTGTCAGCCTTGAGTTAACGGAAGAAACGACTAAACTTTGATTCTTTTAGATGAGGAGTTTGCCAGGAAATGCCTCTGTTGTCCATCCAGGACGGAGGCCCCAGAGCGGACTGGGCTTCCCTCCTCAGTGCAGGCTTCTTCCTCTTCCTCTTCCTCTGCCCCAGCCTCTTCCACGGCCACTACTCAGGTGTCCGGCCGAGCGCCTCAGCTTCTTCCTCTCCTCGTGGTGCTCCCGCTCTGCCTGCTGCTGCTTCCTCTGCTGCTCCGACTGCAAACAAGGGCAGAATTATTATTTATGATAAATACGTTGTTCTTATATTGTCTTGCTAAAGTTTACAGGATTATTATTTATTATCATTATGAAAATGAATGTTTTCTATAGATATTATGTGTTTTCAGATCATACTAAACTGCTTTAAGATTTGTGAAGGTATTTTTACAGATGGATTCTGTTTCTGTTTGTTTTTTACTGCATTGATTTAAAAAAAATACATCATATGAGCAGTTTACCTTTTTGAGAGTGAAAGTTAGTTGTTTGCTGCCCACTGCAGTGTCGGCCATGTTGCTAGTTCCAGAGTGCTCCTCCAACTTCAGACGGTCCTCCAGAGAAGCCCTGGAAAAAACGCACATTGCTCAGATGTCATACACCACACAATGTACATCGAGCAGTCAGAAAGTATTGGTACTTTTTTGTCAATATTTTGGCTCTGTATTGTGCTGACCTTTAGCTTTAAGCATGGTTGTGTCTATAGTTTGTAAATTTATACATTTAGATAAAGCATGTACCACAGAAAGTTTCTTGTATCGCCATAGAAATATCCCTGATGTAAAACCTAAAGTAATCTGAATAATAATCTGAGTGTCCCACACATTAAAACAGCACTTATCTAAGAGTTGCATTTAATACATTTCCAAAGACTTACTTCTGTAGTTTCTGCTTGCGGGCCATGTCATTAAAACTTCTGAACTCCTCCCCGGCTTTGATCTGATAAAAATGAGGCTGACTTGTCTTCTTGCTCTCAGCCATGTTTGAGGTTTTCTCTCCTCCGTTCCGCTCCTTCTCCAGCAGGACAGTGTTGCGGTCTGCGTCCTTCCTCTTCTGCCGCCGGCGGTCTCTGTCCTCCTGCCGCAGCAACCTCCGCTGCTCCCTCACCTCCTCCACCCAGCTCTTGTCGTCGTCCGAGCTCTCCTCCTCAGAGCTGGCTCGCCCCTCGGGCTCCTCTTCGTCCTCAGCCGCCTGGACAGAGATATTACAAAGTTTTGAAAAAATTATTGGTGTGATATTCTTTCTGGGCTCTGGCCTGTGAACAAGAGAGAGACAGATAACCTGTTTGGAGGGACTGCAAGCTGATATCACACTACCTCCAATACAAGAACTGATAGTGGATGCTACTCCCCTCTGGCTCAAACCAATTAAAATCATTCGTAAGACTAAGTCTGGTGTTCCTAATTCACACTTGCCTTTCTAAAGGCCTGGAGTCAAACATGAGATGCCATACCTGGGCAGAAAATGTGTAAGTGAAGCGTTACCTGCTGGGCAGCCGCAGCCTGCTGAGCCAGTAGACGCAGCTTCTTCTTCCTCTTCTGTCCGACCTTGGAGACGATGGGGTTGAGCAGGCGGAACTCCTCGCTCTGCTCGTCTACCTGGTAGTCGGGGTTTTCGAACATCATCTTGAAACGGTCGTCGCCCAGGATGGTGGGGAGAGCCTGCAGGTTTGAAAAGTTGAGATGGTGGAGATGATTAGGCTTGATGGTTTGATAGAGCGTACTTCTGAAAATGCAACATTGACATACACATCTTGTTTTCCTACCTTGCCCCTCTTTTTCCTCGAGGCCAGCTCTGCTTCATCATCACCCTCCTCCATCAGCTTGAGAGCCAGGTCCTTGTTCACCTTGGGCAACTTCTGTTTCAGCCAGAACAATTTGTACATTTGATTACACACACACACACAGGAAGTGGGCAAAATGATCAAATCACTTTGATTTGTGAAGCAACACACACACATTTTTACTGACATCAACAAAGGCCTTCCAGTTGTTATCAGTCATTTGTTTTTCACGTTTGAAACGAGTGTGACAGGATGTGAAGAAAGGTACATTTTACTTCTGGTTAATGAAACTGATACGTGTCAAAATCAGGAATGTGCAACAACATGAGAGTTTGTTAGAAATGCATAAGGAAGATAATGGTATGTGTTTCTGGACTGAGCAAGATAAGTCATGATTTTCTCCCTCATATTAACAGGGAGAGATCTGAACAAGCTCTACAAACTGGGTGAGCCTTCAAGCACTTTTGGAAAGACCGGACCTCTCACCTTAACCTGCACCCTCTGAGTCCTGGACTCCTCAATCTTCTGGCGGATCTTATCTTTGCGGTATTCCTCGTATGCGAAGGGATTAGCCATGCTTTTGACCTGTGGCCACACCAAACAGCACAGCTGTCAAATCAAAACATTCCTCTTTCACAACAACATGTTTACAGTAGTTGTTGTTCTAACATAATCAGACTGGATTGAACAAGTCGGCTTAATATTCAAGATATGTAAACAAAAAGTTGAAACAGAAATCAACACTACCTTGTGATAAAGCCTTATGTCCATGAAATAGCCGTGCATGTAGGCTTTCAGCAGAGATGATCCCACCAGGTGAGACAAACCTGACACAAACATGGAAAACAAAGAAAGTCAGGATTTTACAAAAATAAACAAATGGTGAAATTGTGTATTTCAAATTATAGGCAGAAATATACAGAGATTTTTAGCTGTGTGGCTCTATGGGGGCTCCATCGTCCACCACTTTGGTCCAGACTCATTTTGGTACAGAAATTCATTGTTCCCAGAGGAATGAATCCTATGACTTTGGTGATACTCTTTTCCTCTATGACGTTTTCTCTAATGCCACCATATTGGCATTTGTGGTTCTGAGTGAAATTTCTCAATAACTATTTGATGACATTTGGTACATGAATTCATGTCTCCTTCAAGTATGAATTTTTGTAACTTTGGTGATACTTTGGTGAATTTCAGCATGTCAATACACTTAAAGTTTGATGATAAACATGTTAAATCTTATACCTACTAAACATCAGTATGTTAGCATTGTTCTTGTGAGCATTTAATATGCTAATATTAGCATTTAGCTCAAAACAGCTGCAACTAACAGCTGAACACACTTGAGGCGTTCTTTCTACAATGGAAATGAAACATTATTTGGAAAGTTGGTCCCAGCACTGCTGCAGACATTTCCATGCATCTGTTGCACTTGTAGTTTCCTTTGCTCTCAACTTCTTCAGTTCATCACAAACCAGCTCCATGTGGTTTAAGTCTGGAGATTGTGCTGCTCTTCTATCATGTCATCATGTTGCTGTAGGATGAACCTCTGACCACCCAGTCTTTCTTCTGCCCTTTTCTCACCCTTCTGACAGCAGTATACAGCAATACTTCCTGCAGTACAGTGCTGTCCTAATAATGCATTGGAGGATTTGCTCCGTTTGTAAGTCATCAACTAAAGTCGGGGCAGCTGTAGGAACTGTTTGTATTAACTTTCAAGGCTTCATTTACTTCCATTACTGCAGGAAATCTGGACGTTAACCAGTTATTTAATCTATGAAAAAGGCCCGTTTTCTATTAACTGCCCACGATTTTTTCTGTTTTTAGTGACCTAAACCTTTAATTAAAAAAACAGTAAAAAAATCTTGTCCAGTTTACCTCTAACATTTAAGGTTATTCACTGGACTTGAGCTGCTGTAATTTCAAAAAAATTTCAGAAAAATGGGGGTGTTGTAAAACCTCTGACGGTTAGTGTGTAGATTAGAGTTAACAAATGAAGATTTTTCTCATTCAATTCTGACATTAATGAATGAACTGCAGACATTTTGTTTTTCCCTGTGTGTTGTCATGCAATCAACTCTCCCAAAATGGAAGTGAAAAAACTGTTTCATGACTCCATGTCTTAATGAATTTGTGTAACGGACCAGGATTATAGTCAATGAAAAGTAATTCAGAGAAAATGCGCCACATGAGCAGTCCATTCTGACTAAACTCTCTTTCCTGAGAATCTCCTCCCTCCCACGTGTGAACTGGAACAGCAGCATGAAGGGGTTGCAGTGATCATTGGTAACTATTTCTTGTGTCGAAGCCTGTGAGCATGTCAGTGCATGTAGATGTGGAGTACGTTGCTCTTCCCAGGATCTGCCATCACTCTGCTCAGGCCGCCCCAAGGTTACATAACGGGGCCACACTACACGGCTCCTGTAAATCAACACCGCTGTTCCTCTGCCTGCCCCCTCCTCTCCATTTATTCCACATTAGCCAACCACCTTTCTGCTTCTTGTCATTTGATCTCTTTACTGCTGAGCCTGCATTCCAATGTTCATTCAACCCTTCCAGTGTCCACTCCCCCGACCCTCCTTCCTCCCACCCCCACACACTACTGTTCTTACCTAAACCTCTCAATCATTCCCTGGGTCTCTACTTAGATCTCAGTCTAGCCTGCTGCACTAACCCCCAAGACGGCAAAGTGCTCAGACTGATTCACACTTTTGTTTAACTTGCAGCGCTGGGATTAAACTTCCTCTTTCTACAGTGATCTCTTCAGCCCTCTGTGCTTTTGAACTGCATGCATTGCTTTTGAAAAAGGAAAAAAACAATACTGTATAATTGCTTGTGCAACTCTTTTTTTTTTGCATACGCAGTTAGACTTGAGAAAATGAAGGCAGTGAAGTCTCACCCAGGTTTTCCAGGTCCTTCCGGGTGACAAACTTGTAGTCATCGTACACTGTGCTCTCTGGGCTCTCCTCCAGCTCCTCTGTCAGGTTGTCAAGGAAGGAGCACCAACGAGGTGCAGGGCCCAGAGCCTAAACACACAGACACCCACATGCACACGCACACATACCTAGTTCAGATTTAGATCTCTGAGTAAGTATGAAACCTAACATGCATTTGTTGAAACAAAAATAAACCAACTGTCCAAGGTTATGTTTCACTTACAGTCAGAAATTACTGAGCTCTTCTTTGTTGAATTGTGCTGACAGTTCACCCAATGCTAATAATACAAAAGCATCAGCAGCAAAGTACCACTGCTTCGTAACATGAGTAAGGTGTTCACTTTTGACTGAGAAGACACATTTAATGTTCTCACAGCGATAAGAAGCAGTTTCATTCCACTCTCCTGACACCGTCACTGCTGTGTGCTCCAAACTCTCATTTTGACACTTGCCTGTGTTTAACAAGGTCATATAATATCACTAAACCAGGAATCTCAGTTCTGTCCCTTTCACTGTCTCATTTGGAGTGATCAACAGAAAATTAAACAATATAGCATTTGGAGAATTGATTAATCTTTTAGGGGTGGACAGTAACAAATGACATTTACTGCACTTTGAGTACTGCACTTAAGTATATTTTCAAATATCTGTACTTTACTTGAGTATTATTTCTTTTGGAAATGTATGGCTTTTACTCCACTACATCTAAAAGACAAATGCTGTACTTTAGACTTCACTACATTTCTATGAAGTACTCTTGCTGAATGAATTTTATTTTATTTTGAAAATGTGATAGGCCATACGGTGTGTTCATCACAGGAGAAAAACAATCATAGCCAGCTCCTATACAGTGACAGTCATGTTGCGCTGATGCATTTTTGATCAGAACCCGGCAGTGTCCTGACGACGGCTATGTATGTATGTGTATCGTCTTAAATGTTTGCTGTGTTTACCACGACCAAACTTCATCACTGCTGTTTTGTGAGGGGTGGGGCGTGTTAAAGGTCCCCTGTTGTATAAAGTGAGATTTCCATGTCGAAGCAGGTCTAGGTTCTTTGGTAATACTGTGAAAAACTCTGAGAGAGGAGATGCAAAGCTACATCAAGATGGCTTTTGGTTTTGGTTCTTAAACCACAAATATATCTTAAAAAAAAAAAAAATTCTGAAGCCGAGCACTGCTGTGCTTTTTTTGATTCAATTATGTTTTTAATGGCTATTTCTATCAGCTTTGTAGCATATTTTACAAGCTTTTTATTCTACAAGGTCTACAGTCAGTCAGTAGGTTGCTTCAGAGTCATTAAGTTCTGTAAATGGAGAACTATACAACAATGTGTTGACATAAAATATGTATTTTTGAATAACAGAAGTATTATCAAAATCAAGTACTGCAGTACTCAAGTAAAATTTAGACTGAACAACTTTCACTTATATTGGAGTAATATTTAACCAGGAGTATCTATCGATGACTCAAGTAATGGAGCTGTGGACTTTGTCACCTCTGGTTTAAGCTAAATTCAAAACAGTCCCCAATTCCAGCTTCTCTACTGAGACAAAATCCACTATCCCTGTGCAAAAATATGTTCTAACGTTCAGCTGTTATGAGGCTTCAGTCGTCAAAGTCGGACACATTGAACGGTTTTCTTCATCCTGGCAGTTGTTTGCATGTTTTACTGATTGAGAGAATGTTTTATCCCAGCAGCAAACGTAGATGCATCAACAACTATCCGTCTTTCATGTCTCAACGAGGAAACACTGTCCAGAAGGACAAACTACAAAGACTTTGAAAGAAAGGCACCTGATTAGTCAAACTCAGACTGTTGAAGCCTCATATTAGTTTTGACTGAACTAAAGACTACATTGTTGACCAGAACAAACACGGTATTTTATCTCCCATCTTTTACATTTGAATCATCTGGAGATGAAGTGTAGTCACAACGTCTCAGAATGAGTAAAAATTCAATTTCAAGAATTATTTCTTCACACCTTGTCTGCTGGTGTTGAGGAAATGGAAAGAAATCTGGCAGAAATGATTATTTACATCAGTTTTCACTATAATCACATATTCTTCGTCAGTGTAATGTTTGTCAAATTTTCTTTTATGTCGTTATCTATTATCTTCAAATCTTGTTTGTCTTTACCCCGCCCATATGTGGATATAGAAAACACAAAGCTAAGTCGGGGTTAACTAGTTCAAAGTAGGGCAGATCAAAGATCCACTCATACACCATGACCTTTCACTCTATTGGATGAATGGAAGTCTTATGGATTTAAACTCAGCATTTCTGTCTGTTCTGTGGAATCTGTACTATGTCCACACAGATGATGATGTCACATGGCGTCACACACTGAGCCCAAAGTCAGCAGTATCCAGCACCTTGTCATTGTTTAGTTTCATGTCAGTACTGATTATCAGTTCAACACACAACTATTATTACCTCAGTATTTCATGGAAAACCATTAAATAGAGTTTAGACCTCAAGGCCGTAAATTTCATTAAAATAAAGCAACATGTTTACGCACGCTTTGGAAAGTAATGAACCCGAGTTTGCCAGTAACACAATGGCTCTAATCCACCAATCCAGGTAGAACTGCAACTAACGATTATTGTCATTAACAATTCATTTTCATCTTCATTACTGATTAATCTGCCAATCATTTTCTCAATTCCTCGCTTCACTGTGTTGTCAATTAAATGTCAATGTTCACAATTTCCTAAACGCCAGGGCAACGTCTTCAAAATTTTTGCTATGCCTGACCAACAGTCCAAAATCTAGATATCAATCTTGATATCATCAAAATCATCTTGACATCAATATCAAGATATTGAATTAATGCTCACTTGAGATAAAGAAAATCAGCGGAGCCTCATAATTGAGAGGCTGGAACTGGTGAATGTTCTGCACTTTTGCTTGAAAATGACTCATGTAATTAACTCGATGATCAAAACTGTCGTTTCAGCTGTGGGTCCAACATGTAAGTGTAAGTGTAAGTGATGCATTTATCTAATCCTTATCTCCAATGCAGGACAGAGGGGCCAAAGTTTAGCACATCCATGTCCACCATGTCTGGAATTTACCCATTTACTCAAATCAAAGTCTAGTTTACTGTACAAACACACACACATTCTCTGGAATAACACACTTTGTAAAAATCATAATAGAGTCACAGGACAAGTTGCTGATGACAACAAGCTTTAGTCATCAGATTAAAGACAGAGAAAATAAATGCCCCACACACACTGCTGCTTTTGTTACTCCTACAAGTGTCCTTAAACAACCACTTGAGTCATCGAGGCTGTGAGTGTGACCTGTCACGGTTTACACACAGTTAAGGAATGTTAACAGCTGTGTACTCACCGGTATGTAGAATGTGTTCATCTTGGGATCTTCATTGGCAGTGAAGAGCATACCTGTCAAAAAGTTTGTGGTGGGGAAAAAGGGCGGATATCAACTGAGGCCATCTGCCGTGTAAACACCGAGTTTAATTCCAGTCATGTATATTTGAAGGTCCTACTACACTTGAAAAATGAAATACATATATAAAACAGTGAAAACTGCTGGATAAGATTTGAATTTGGAAGAGGAAGAATTCATTTCTGCCCTAAAAATGAGAAGGGATTTAGAAAACTGTTTAAATGCTGAAAGGTAGTAAAGGAAATAAAAAATGGGGGTGGGTCTTTAATTCATTACTCTATGACATCTACAAGGATGAAACCTCATTAAAACAAACTTAAAAGCAAAAAAAAAAAAAAAACTGATACATCCAAAACTAAATAATTATTTCAACAATGACTCCAATGGCACCTTTAGTTTTGCATCTTGTGTAAACTGACAGGCATGAAATGACAGACAAGATCAAACTGCAAAGTCAAACAAAGTCTACAGTAAGATGGCGCCACCTGGAGGTGGAAGAGAGCTGCACGAATGATACAGGTTGTAGCAATGGTGAATTTTTGATCTAATATGTGACCAAGTTTTGTACAAAATCCCACTTTATAGTTGCTATTGGTGTTGGTATGTAGTTTTTGGTTTTCCGTTCTTCATTTGTAAATAATAGAGGTTCATTCTTTACATAGTATTTTAGTTTTATTAAAAGTGTTTTTAAGTTACTTTTCTAAGCGTCTGTTCTTGACCTTCTGTGACACTGGGATTTCTCTATCTTATCTATCTTATTTTGTAGGTTTGTTGGAGAAGTCAGTCTCACCTGAATGAGGGTAGATGCACACATCATTAATGTTGGTCTGAGGCTGTATGGAGGAAAACACTTTGCCCTGTGGGGAATACACAGAATAGATAAGAGATCAATGGCTAGTCCAGTCCTGTCATATATTTACACAAAAAATGTTTTAACGTCCACACAATGAAGAAGCACAGGTCTCGGACAAGTTACCACTCTACAACACTTAATACTTCATCGATCACATGCAGCACAGGTCAGGTTAGTCAGGTCTTACGCTGTCTTTGTTCCAGATTTTTATAATCTTGGAGTCAGCAGACACAACCAGGTCCAGCTGATCGTGGAAGTTGAGTGACTTGATTGGCAGGTTGTAGAAGTGGTCCTTAACCAGGAGTGGCTGGCTGGAGCGCAGGTCATACAGCAGCACCTTCAACACAAAGCAAAGGGTGGATAACACCACTGAAATTTAGAAATCTATTCAAATCTGGAACACTAGCTTCCACCAAAGGAATGAAAATAAATAAAATATAAATATAAATCAACAAAAACAAAACTGAGCTCTTTTTGAGAAGAGCGTAACTTTCTAGAAGAGCCTGCCGGACATCGGCCAAGTCATTGTGAGTTGACTAATCACAGGAAGAGGATGTGTAATTTCACACCATAAGGGCAGCAGAGAGTTTACAACAACAACAACAACAACAAACAGGGATGAAGTAAAACATGTAGCCATAGACTAATGTTACAGAGTTTCTAACCACAGTTTGATGCAAACAGGACTGATGTCCAGCTGCAGCAGACAGCCATCATGAAAATATTGTGGGCTCTATTTGAACAACCCAAGGCGCATGTTCTACAGCGCATGGTGAAAATGCATTTAGGGTGTGTCCATGTCAGTTTTGCTATTTTAAAATCGCTGCATCAGGCACATGGTTCCAAAGGGTTGTACTTAATCTCTTAATTATTCATGGGAGAGTTTTGGGCGTAACAGTGCCATTCCCATTCCCTTTAAGAGCCAGGCGCGCTTGCACCCGGGCGTATTGCAATGTCAATGGCACACTGTTTCACACAGGGTTAGACTCTATTTGCAGGCAGTTGAACACATATTGTTACTGACCAGTGACTGCAGTCCTGACACAGGTAGCAGCTCTGTGTGCACTGAGGGGCAAAGAAGGGCTGAGCCTGATGCGTCTGACCACACCTCATTTTAAGACCAACACACCCATGGGTGCTCCGATGGACGCATGTGTATTTGCTACTTACACAAGGGTCTGAAACCTCACCTGTCCTGTGCTGGTGCCTACTGCCATGGTGAGGGAGCCATTAAATTTCAGCGCACTGACTGAGGGCAAACCTTGAACTCTGTCGACAAAAACACATGAAGAATATCAACAGAATTATTCATAGGGGGTAAAAGGCAAAGTGAGACACATGGCAAAAATAAGTAATGATGACAGACACACTGTAGCGCTGTTGTGACAGGAGAATAAACTCACTGTGATCAAATAAAGCTGCATATTTCTACATTGTACCATAATGATGGTTGGTATGATGTTTTCTATGCAGCAGAGGAGAAAAGTGCCATGTGGCTGTGTACGCATCATTAGGCTGAGATCAACTGAAATCATTTGACATCGGTGTGACAGCTTGGTACTTACTCTGTTCCTTCAGGGAGGCTGCTCAGGGCGCAGTCCAGCATGCCCACTCTGTTCCGGACACGAGGGTCCCAGCATTCCACCCTCCCCTGGTGACCGAATGGAGGAAATGCCGGTCAGTCGGTTAAATACAGGAAGGCTTTTGTGGCTTTTACAAAGGCAACTCAAGACTTTCTAAAACTAATTGGGACTGAATTTATGACCAGTTAAAATCTGCAGTGGGTTCTCATGTTGGCAGCTCCTAATGTAAGTGAGAGGTAACCGTTTGAAAAACTTGGACTATTACACCCAGAAATAATGTAACACACTTATTTTTATCAGCCCAGCTGGTGTGTGATGCTTTATACCAAACAATTTCAAGGAGATGATAGAGGAGGGAGAGAAACCCATCAGAGGAATCCAAAAATGAAAAATGCTGTATAATGTATAAAACTGTGAAATTGCTTTAAGCACATGTAACACAAAGAAACCTGATACTGCACGATGCAAAAATAACTTCTAACATTTTCACCAAGTACATTTCTGTCCTTATTACAGACGTTTGTTCTGATAAATATATTGACTTTTTTAGTCTCGGTATATTCTAAAATTCAATTAGTAACAAACAGCTAAACAAAGTCACTGTTTCACTTGAGTCTGCTAATAACTGCTGCCTCATTTCACACACAGCCTGCTATGGCAGTTACCTCAGAGGTTCCTGTGGCAAACAAATGATGGACGGGGTTGATGTCACACACATTGTTCTCCCTGGTTGAGAAGTTAAGAAAAAGAGGCATCATGAACATCAGCTGAGAGAAATGAGAGCCCGCTAATGTCTGCATCATAGACTTCAGTGGTACAACAATTTTAATATTTTCACCTGGCTGAATTTAGAGTTAACCACTGTGATACTTACACAGCATCAGTCTGGAGTGAGCTGAGGAAGCGCCCTTGTTCCAGATTCAGTCTGAACACCTCTGAACTGAAAACAAAAAACAACTGCAGTGTCACTCAAGCAGCTTGACCATGAGACACGCACAGACAAATCCAAAACAGTGACAGAGTGACAGAATACATTAACATCTATCATTCAATCATACTCTCACCTTGTTCCCACAAAATAGAGATCACAGGAGGGGTAGTGGTAAGAAAAGTCTCGTCCAAACTTTGGAATACGTGTCTTGTAGTAGTGTCCATGCTGAGAGTGGAACTCTACATAGCGGTCACAGTGCAGAAACACCAACTGCACACACAGACAAACACATGGTTTAGTCAAAAATGCTGAATAACATCAATCATTTCATGGAGTTGGGTTTCACAGACACACACACTGAATTACATTATCATTATGGGAATAATAAGTAAATTAAAGAGAGAGTAATAATAATAATTTTGAAAGATATGTGGACAAATCTGGTGGTTTTGTCTAAACAATACTTGTTGACATCTGCTGCGGTACATTAGTGATACAGTTTGAACCAAGTAGTGGCTGCTTTCCCTGTGGGAGTGAATATGATTGGGGCTGGGAACCTACCAAGATCAATATACACTTTATTAGTACATCTGTAGAGTCTGTGATGCCATGAAGTCTATTTTTACTATGCCTACAATTATGATTTTACATATGTTTTAGCACTGAGGTCATAGTTAATGATGTACATAACAATTGCTATATTAAGAGGTGGTTACATACGTAACAACACAGCAACAGCATTAGTAAAATGTTGGGGCAACAGTCCCCCAATGTCTCACCTTAGAGTAGTCTTCAGACAGGATGTCAAAGGCCACAACTTTGAGAGAGAAAAAAGAAACTTGTCAAATTCATTCTATGACGTGGAGGCAAAGGTACATGTGGGTGTGTCTACTGACTTACCATCTGAATCCAGGCAGCGCTCAAACTTCAGGGACAGCTGATAGGTGTCGTAACAGCGAATCCTGGGCTTGTATGTGCCTTAAATTAATTTATTGAAAAGTCAAAAATTAATGAAATGAAACGACCAACTCAATAATCTTGGAGGCCTGTTGTGTTCTGACAACTGAAGTCAGTCTCACTCATAAGGAGGGTTTGCTGACACAATATACACAGTTCATCTTACCTGCTGCCAGGATGAACTGCCCATCTCTCGACACTTTGATGGAGGTGCACACTGTGGGCATCTCAAAGTCCTGAATGAGCTCAATCCTACGCTGGATGTCTAGAAAAGAATAATGACAAACAGAAGTCAAAATACAGATTTGCAGCATTTTGGAGGAAAATAATCAGGCTGTAATGCTGAATCTGCAGCTGTAAACTCACCAGCATCTTTCTTTTGAAGCTGTCTTTTCTTCCGATCTGACAGCCACTGCATTAATGAAGTAGAGGTGATTAGGATTTGCTATATAGGTAAGTGCTGCCATATCTTAGAGGTGTGTGCTTTATTTTAGTTTAGGTCAATTTATATTAGTGGTACAGCATCCACTGAAATGCGTGGGGCTTAACGGGGGATGAAGACTACACTGAGGATGATGTTCTACTGTAAAGACGTGTTCCTTTAATTACATGAAATAAAGTTAAGCACAATTAAGCACTGACATTTTCTAAATACACAATGTGAGGACTGCTCTTGTCAGTCGTCTGTTGACATGTTCGTTGTGTTAGCTAGCTAGCTTGGTAAATTCGAGGTAAGCAGTAACTTCATGGCTAAAGGAATATAACTTAGCGTTAGGAGCGAGTCCCGCTTCTTACCTCTGGAAGAGACTTTCCATGGCTTAAATTGTAAATCTTCACATCATTCACACTAGATATCTGCATTGTAGAAAGTGAACAAGACACCGGTCACACATAACACTAATATTACACACTGGTGAACCACACGGAATCCACGTTGTTGCCTCGGAGCAAAAACAGGAAGTGAGGGTAAGTTTTCCGAAATAGGTCCGACTAGAAACCACACTGAGTGAACACAGTGCCCTTCCTCTACGAAGTTCTTAGAGTTTAAACAATTAAACAAATAATTAACTTGATAAAATTAATGAAACGTTACAAAAACGTATTTTCATGTTACACATAAATATCATAGCTTTTACCTTTAATGTTGGGTCAAGTGAGTTAGCTGGCTACCGCTAAATTAACAAATTAAAAGTAACGTTAACTATAGCCTGCTAGACATGTTTCTGTCGTTGTTATGAATTTCAAACAAAATATCAATTTATTCGCACGTGCATAAAGCCGATAACATAAATTTTTTGTTAAATTAAATTGTAAGATCACTGTTGTATGTGGGCTACAGCTGCTAAGGTTTTCATTTTTTTCACATGTATTAACGGATACGTGTTCAAAAATATAGAAAAATGTAAACCAGGCAGAGAGAAATTCAATCATTTTTCGAGCACCTGTACTTGCTCAAATCACCTGGAGTGATGTAACGGCTTGTTGTGATCCCGGAGGGCAGTGGGCTGTCAGTCAGTCTCAGGTGAAGCTGCCGCTCAGCCTCCAACTCTCACAGTGAGACCGACACAGGACCGACATGAGGATGACCTGACGGTAAGAATCCCTGCTTTGGTTATTCGTTTTCACTTTTTATAGTTACTTTTACTAAACTGTATGTAGCCACAACCCCTGAAAATGTTAATATCATCACAGCACACTCAATAACTTCGTGGAAATAGAAATAAGATAACAAACAGGTGTAAAATTATGAAATGTAATTTTAGTCATCTTAACATGAAAGACTACACATGCCCTTGATAAGTTAATCTTAGTGTATGTTTGTTTGGGTCTCAGTCTATTAGGTGCCAAAGCCTGTTGTTGTGGGGAGGGTTTTGACTGGAGGTCTCTATGTGAAACACTGGGAGTCATGACAGACTTGTGGCTGATTTCTGTCCCGCTGGATAAGACCAGTTCAAACAGTGTAGAGAAACTCAAGCGCACCCTTTCTAAAACCAACCTGGCCTCCTGCTGCAAGTTCTCCATTCCAGATCTCAAGGTGAGGCTGTTTATCATCTGTCCCAGTGACGAGCCAAATAGGTTATACAGAGTAGCCTAAATAAGGATCTGATATGATATACTATGACAAAGAGCAAGATAATAATAATAATAATAATTTTTTCTTGTTGTAGCTCTGATCAGTGTATTTTAGTTCTGTTCTGTGTTTATTTATACCAGTAGAGTAGAGTGTAGCTGAGGAGGATGATGGTGTTTGGTGTCCTTCTCTGTTGAAGGGATAAAGGCTCAGGTTGCTCTCTACAGTTTGAGGCAAAATTTCCATCTGACCCATTTCACTCAGCGTGATCAATGTTGACCTTGACTCCCAGAAATCGCATTTTAAGAGCTGTTTTTCAACTCTACCAAGACTTCAAACTTGAAAACCCTTATATTGAATGTGATATGTGGACACCTTCAGGCTGAATCTTAAAAGCCAGTAAGCTCACAAGCGGTTATACATGCGGAGCACTAACTGTGTTGTCTATGCTCTGACCTCAGGTGGGAATACTGGACAGTCTGCTTAGTATGTCAGATGATCTCTCCAAGCTCGACACACTCACTGAAAGGTAAAAAGGTGCAAGAAGGATGACCCAAACTGAGCATGTTGCCTGTGCTGTGTTAATGCACTTGGAACATTTTGTCTCAGTGGTCATTGCATGTTTGTACCTTAATGTACATCTTTGTCCTTAATAAGGACTAGTAATTCTGAGCTTGTGTGCAGTCTGCTCCATGATTAATTGATGGTCAGGGGCAGCTGACGGTTAGTTTTCCCCCCGAATTTTAAATTCATTGTTGGTGCATCTTAGCTGTTATCCTGTAAGTGGGGATGTTACAGCCTATTTACAACACCACAATGTGGCCTAGGGAGATCAAACCAGATTTCTTTCAATTTAGTCCAAATAGCTTGAATTAGTTTGAGTTATTGTTTCCTATCTTAAGTTTTCTTGTTTAAGTTTTCTACATTAATAGTTTATTTTGTATCTCAGAATTTGGGGGAAAGAGATTTCCAGAAATGAAAGCTGTAAAATATTAAAATTGTATAAAAAACATAAGTACTTTGTAATAGTGGTATTTTTCCTGTTGCCTGGTCAGTGTGATCAAGAAAACATATCAGTGTATGAGGGAGGTGATGGAGCAGTCTACTGACAAAGTGCTGGAAAACACCTTAGCCAATGGAGGTGAGTCACACACACACACACACACACACACACACACACACACACACACACACACACACATGCTGAGGGTGTTAATTACATTGTATAGAAACTCATTAAGTAAGTGCATAGAAGCCTCAGGGTACATGCACATTGCAAATGAGACTAAGAGCTACTTAAACCAGGCTCCATATGCATACACACAAACATCCACTTACACACACAAACATCCACTTACACACACACACACACACAGAGAACACACACACATACACACACACACAGAGAACACGGCCTACACTCACTCATTTACCTTGTAATAGCCTCCTGCTTAGAGACAGTAGGACAGGACAACAGCTGCCCAACACAAACCAGGCTAACCGCTGCCTCTGATCACTTTCCCTCATCAGACCACGGCATGAATCAGAGAGCCGCCCTGTCGCCCCTGACAGCTTACCTCAAGTCTCTGAGGGGTATTTTATCTGCTGGCAATTTGCTCTTTGAGCTGGAGTGTGTTGACGTGTGACTCCTTATACAAAGTGTGCACTTTTACTCTCTTGTTTTCTGAATGACACTCCTGTTCCACTGTGTGGTGGTGTGGTTTTATAACTGTGCAATTTATGGTTTCTAGTTAGGTTATGACTTACGACTGTGTGTGTTTCTCAGTGGACCTGATGAGCTATGTGACAAAGTTTCAATGGGACAAAGCCAAGTATCCCACAGCTCTGCCTCTCTCTAGCCTGGCAGATATCATCAACAAGGTATAAACTAATGAAAATGGGGATAATAATAAGTGACATGTAGATATGGTCTTTCACAAGGGTCGGAGACACAAGAGAAACAGTGAAAATCATAGTGTATTTAGCCTCAGTAATGTGACATATTAGTTAGTGAAATGGTTTAGTTACCACAAAGATTTAAATAAAATTCTTCAAATGTGATTGGACCTCTTAAAAGTTGGCATAGCTTAGCAAATGCCACCTGATATGGAGCTGTAGAGAGATACGGAGCAGAAGGACTTTGCACTTCTACCTCGACCTCCCTCACCCACGTTGTTAAATCAGGAGGAGGAGGAGGATAAGGGTTAAATGGACAAATTAGACCTTAATCACATTGTTTAGAAATGTAAAAGTACGTTTTTGGCCACTGAAATCCAAATTCATCTCCAAATGTATTGCTCTGCCAGCTTCCCACCAGCTAACAGTCATAGACAGCATTAACATCCCAAATCACATTTCGGTGCGAGGTATGTTCACATATTTCACATATTTAGCATATAACAAAATGGGTTGTTTTTAGTTTTTTTTTTAATTATTTTTTACCAAATTTACAACAATATTTGTGAACTTTGTCATAAAAAATGATGTAATGTTAAATCTAAATGTTAAATCAGGTTCAAATTGTTGTTATAAGTGACTGACATCTGCCACTTTACATTTAACATTAGGATTTGAATCTAGATTTAATATTTAACATTTAACATTTAGATTTAGATTTAAACTTTAACATTATTTGGAGCTAAATGTGGTGAAATGTTGTTGTTCATTTCAGTATGCAAAACTTTACACTCGGCACCGCATATAACAAGAGATGAATTAAAAATGAACACAGGGATACTAATCTTAGTTTTAGTCCAAAAACATTGGTTTCCACATGTCCCATAATGCAACACCCACATCTTTCTAACTTTATACCGCTAGTTTGTAACATTGGATTTCTACTACAAATTTGTAGTCTCCAGGCCCAAGCTGAGAGTAACCCTGATGATGTCATCATGTAGTAGTTGACTATGGAGAACTGTTATCACAGGCAGAGTAGGACTAACCAGGACTATTAAACTTTTACATGTAAAATCAGTAGAATGCCCCTTTAATACCCAACCAGCTTAAATATGAGGAAATTGAATCAGTGTGAAATTGAAATAGTTTTGCTAGAAATATTTATAGGTGTATGCAAGCAGCATTACACATGATTACTCACTGTTGGTTATTCAGTGTATGAGTTCTTCAGTCCAAGTTCTCATACTAGTTTTCTGGTTCTCACATAGTCCTGATTCTTACATGTGCTGTTCCCTGCATGTGTGTCAGGAAGTTTCCCAGGTGGAGACAGAATTGAAATCTCGAGCTGCAGCGTACAACAGTGTAAAAACTAGCTTGCAAAGCCTTGAGCACAAACTAGAGTGAGTAACATCAGTTGCATATTAAGTCAAAATACATCATTATATTAACTATGTAAATGATAAACTGCACTGTCTGTCTTTCCAGTGGGAATATGCAAACTCGCAGTCTGAATGACATTGTGAGAAAAGAAGACCTGGTGGTCTCAGAGTACCTCACCACTCTACTGGTAGTGGTGACCAGGTCAGTGGCACTCAGTAACATGAGCTTGTGTGTGTGTATACAGTATCTACACAGTATTCCTGTGATAGTCTTCATGTGTGCTCATGTTTTTGGTGACAGAGGGAGCTACCTGCAGTGGGAGAGGACCTATGAATCTTTGTCAGAGTTTGTGGTTCCGCGGTCAAGCAGGTGAGCCGTCTTTATACACTCTTACTCATGAGACAAGCCATTCCACTTGATCCAGGTACAAGTGCACTGGCAAAGCTCTGAGTACCTGTTCTCAGGCTAAGTAACCACAGGTGTTGCATTACCAGCAGAAAGTAAGAGTCTGTGTGGCGAGTCTTATTACTTACACCCGTGCTTTTCCTACTATGAAATGTCAAAATGTCTTCCATGATGAAAAAGACATCAGTAAATGACATCACACAAATCCTAACTACACCCATTTTCCCCATGACTAGAGGACAAATTAGGCAGGGTAATTGAGAACACCAGTGTGGGTGTACATGGCCTTTAAAGTACGTGTATGAATGTGCCAAGACTAATTAAATTAAATTAAACAATGGTCATACAGAATATCCTATCAGTGTAGAGCTAACTCAAGTATTAATCATTTGTATTCACAGCATTTAAAAAAAAGCCAACATGCAAAATGCTAGTGTGGACAGGTCATCAATAAACCGTTAGAGGAACTGTTGACAGTTACTAACTGCAGCTTAAAGGATGTTTCAATCTATGTTGTTTCACAGAAATCTAAGTTACTTTTAGAGACAAAATCATTCAACTATTGATTGATTGATTGAAAAATGTAATGCCATCATGGTTTCTGTAAAATTTCATTCATCCTTAGACTATAGCCATAAAAGTTAAATATTAAATTCTGACAGTGGTTTTCTGATTAGACCTCCTCTCAGGACTGTGTGAGCATGTGCAGATAGTGCTTGATTGATCTCCTTCTCTCACCTGTTAAAGTTAGATCACTTACAATTAGGGCTGTGCTCGGAAACTCTCTTTTCTTTGGAGGGTTCCTAAGTGAAATGATCCGGAAGTATGTAAGTGGCAGCCATGATGAGAGCTGGTCGAATTCTCTGAATGATAAGGGAAGCAGCGTCAATGCTTCCTATCTTATCTTCTTTAGCATAGGAAACACTGGAGTTCCCTTTACAATAGGAAAGTTGCTAATGGGGTCCCACAGTTCCTTGCAGCAGCAATATTTAAAATGATGAGCCATTATAGTTTCACCACGGCAGACCTACATAAACATGTAGAAACTACAGAGCACCTGTTTTAAGCTTCTGACATGATCCAGAACTGATGGGAATCATGGTTTGATGGGCTGAGCTCCAAATCCATAAATATAAATTTCCTCTCTCTCAAATCTGTCCAGTTTGGAGTCATCATGAAGAACAAGCATATTGAATTTCTAGTTAACAATATCATCATCTTAACAAATGCTATATGCTGTACGTAAATGTCATTTCACTAAATCCCCCACATTGAGAGTGCACTAAAAGTTAATTTCCTTTACTTAACAAATGTATAAAAAAGGCTCTATTTGGTTGTTACCTCCTATGAGTAATTGGTGGTTAAATGCACCTGATTTATAAATTGAAAGCATCCTTTCTTAGTAGGTATGACTCTGATTTGGACACTTGAATTATACGCATTGAGTTCGTCACAGTATTTATCTTCCATGTCTTATAAATAAAGCGGGGAAAAAACAGCCCAGAGTAAGTGCAGTCAGATTCTCTCCACACCGCTGTTGTCTTGTCCTAAGTCCTTATGAATTCTCCTTCACATCTTTCCTTGACCTCATGACGTTTTCCATCGAGATCAAGGAAAAGTGGTTAGGTAAGGAGATGTTTTTGACTTTTGGACTGCACCCTAGGATTCTTACACTAAGTTTGGTGACTTTGTGTTATTTCCAGCTCCATTAAGTTCAACATAACTGTTTGCACCTGTACAGGTGTGTAGCACCTTTAAATATATAAGATTTAAAAATAAAAAAAAAAACTAAATTAAAACAAATTCAAACAAATAAATGAGGTAAACTACAATTCATATATATTTCGCTTTTATGTATGCATTTACAGTGTTATAATTAATAAAGGACAATTATTGAGCTTTGTCTTTAATAACTGAATTAACTGTTTGTCATTGTGAATATTCCATGCAACATTAAAACTAAAATCAATAAAATTACAACGTGTATTGCATGTCAGTGTTGTCCAGCAGAGGACAGACTAGCCCACAGGAAGCTGTAAAGTAAACTCGTGTTAGCTTGTGGCTTGTAGCTTGTGTCAGTGATGATAAGCCACGCCCCCAAGTTATGATGGACAGTTTATTGTTTTTCATTTTGACATTGATGATGTGTCTCCATCTCAACAAAAGTAAAAGATGCCTAGCACCTCCTCATAAAAACTATTGAACTATTGAAAACAATGCTTTGCATTTAACATTGGCAGGTGTATGCTGCCCTCTACTGGACAATATGGAAACGCAATAACTTCTGATTTGATTTTAATGTCGAATGGAAAACTCATGTCTACAATGATTGATGATCATTCAGTTGTAATACAAAAATTAAATTGATCTGATGATGGTACTAGAGGTAAAAATCTGTGGATCACCAAAGTTATTACAGTTAATCCTGAGGTGGACATAAATGTCAGCTAACGAGCATAGCTAAAAACAGAAGCAACAAAAACATGAATTACTAATGTCAATATGATGATCCTTCACTTTATTATATACAACAGAAAATCATTCAAGTTCACAATGCATGACAGGCTTCACTTTTACAGTACATCAACATCACCTAGCTTGCATTGGCACAATCGTTCACTTAATTTTCTTATGTTGTCTTCCAGTTTGACCTGCTGTTGCATGTTGCCTTGCTTTGCTGTAATTTTCTGTCATTATTTCGTGTGACCATCAGGAAGCTGTATGAGGATGGAGAGGCTGGAGTTTTCTCAGTCACGCTTTTCAAAAGAGCTGTGTGTGAATTCAAAGCCAAAGCCCAGGAGAGCAAGTAAGCAGGATGGATTGCCTGAAAATACTCCCATCAAGTGAAAGTTGTGTTGTCCGTGTCAGTTACCAGTGTAGCCTATGATCCACACAGGTTCACTGTGCGTGAGTACGGCTTTGATCTGGAGGAGAAGAAGCAGCAGGAGATGAAGCAGCTCAGTGTTCACAAGAAGGAACAATATGTGCGTCAAACATGCATAGTCTCTATGGAGTTTTTTTTGTGCGTGTGTGTGTTTGTGTGTGTGTGTTGTAGTGTATTATATTATAAATGTGCATGCCTCCTCCACAGGGGATCTTTGTGTGTTGGCTGAAGGTTCATTTCAGTGAGGTGTTTATTGCCTGGATTCACTTGAAAGCGTTGAGGGTGTTTGTGGAATCAGTTCTCAGGTCAGTGCTGATAACGTTAATGATTTTCTCTCATTTACTCTTAACGTTAATGAAAAATGGCATGTGATTCATGTGTAAGTGGACTCATGATGATATCCCCTGCCAGGTATGGATTACCTGTGAACTATCAGGCTCTTCTGCTGGAAACTGACAGAAAGCGCTCAAAGAAAGTCAGAGAAGAACTCGACTCACTGTTCATGCATCTGGACCCCACTGCCACTGCCAGCAAGACAGATGTAAAAGGCCTCACTCAACCTTCACTGCTTCCATTGTTGCTCGTAATTATGCCATTCTTACATTCATATTTCATCGAAAGCACAGCCACAGACAAAAAGGCAGAAAGACACAAACATACAAATACTTGAGCATGGATGTTTACTCTTGACCTTGGGATCAGTACGTGTGATAAAACAGTTTCAACTTAAGGTCTACTTACTTGTATATCTGTAGCTTTCGTCCATATCTTAAAGTCTGAAACTGGTGTATGTGACCTACAGAAAGGGCTTCAGAAAGTATTCAGCCAATGGATAAAAATGCCATTTTTGGCAATCAAGCTACACTTTATAATCCATAATGACAGAATGAAAACATCCATCCATCCATCATCTGTACCGCTTATCCTTGTAGGGTATCCTTGTATGTAAAAGTACATTGAGATGGTGTTATGGATCAATATCTCAAATAAAACACAGGAAAAGTGTAAAATATGCGACCTTTAAGTGCAATTTTAAAGTGCTTGTACTTTACTTATTATGGCATTTTGTGCTATTTCAGTTTACAGCTTGTTTCTGCTTTTCCCAAGTCATCACAAAATCTTGTAATTTAGATTTAAGTAATTTTTAAAAAATATATAGTTTATGACTTTTACATGTAATGGACCATTTTTTAATTTTGTAATTATTACTTTTATTTAAACCTAAATTAACTGATTTTTTGTGCAGAGGAAAAACTGCAGAAATAGACACACAACACAGTGATAATAATCTGTGGGTTTATCACTACAAGCAACCCCTTTCCCATACACAGTAGTTTGATCTATTGTTAATATAAAAAAAATTTGATTAAAGGGTATGAATACATCTCCCACCGCTGCTATTAGCCAGTTCATTAAAGCTTTTTTTCATTAACATATTGCTCACATTTGATACCCAGGCAAGAAACAACTGAGATTCAATTTATTCAGAAACTGATTGTGGTGAATCATTTAATTTGACGCTGCTTTTCCATTTTCATAAGACCAATGACAGCAGAAAGTTAAGTGTTCGTCCAGATTTCATGTTGGTGGTAGAGAGGACACGAGCACTGTCAACCATCTGTTGTCCAGCCTACTTGAAATGACATCTGTCTCATGCAAATTTATCCACGGCATCGCCAGACTGCAGTGAGAAAAAGTGAAACTGTGGGCTTCTGTGCTGCACGCACATTCACTGCATGCAAATAAGGGCACGACAATTATGGTGCATAACATACAACACAGAAATGCCTGTGAAATGAACTGAATTTGCATGGTGCACGGACACTCCTGCAGCACAATGATGGGTTTTAACTGGTCCAAGGAAAGTGTGATGCTGTTTTCTGTGTGTCCCTCTGCCAAGCAGGTCAGCTGTGACATCCCAGGACTTTGTCAGCAGGAATACTTCTCCTATATCTGCTTCCACATCAACACCAACGTGCTGGAGATCAGCTAGCAGTCAGCAGGGAGAGGAGCCACACAATGGCCAAGCAATGAGGGCCCTGTCACTTCATGCTATAGCTTGCAAAGCAGTCACTGAGAGCCAGGAGCATAAAGACCCTCAGCACTAAAATAAAGCAAATCTAGTGAAGAATATATCCTTGACTGCCTTTTAAAAATTTCTCATGAGACAGACGGAACTGGCTGCTTCAGACGGGGGTGTAAATAATCCTGTCAGGTTACCAGTGGCTGGGTTTGGGTTCTCATGGACTACACTTTCTGGAATTGTTGAATCATTTAAATATGTTTAACATCAAAAAATGTTGTTCAATGTTTTCTTTTGAGCGAATGTGTACAGTAAATGTTGATGTCAGTGTACAGCTTCAAGCATTTTAAGTGAGCACGTTCTTCCTAGAAATCTAAAGCCATTACAGAATAAAAAAGTGGATTTCTCCGTGCACAGTTGTACATTATTCAGCCAAACAGCGAAGTGCATTTTTCACCACATTACCAGTATATTCTGTAGGGCCTATGTAAATATAGCAATTCCCTACACAACACTTTTAACTTATTTGATCAAAATGTTTTTAAATGTGATGGTATCAGCAGCAGCCTACTCTTTGACTTAAAGGAGCTATTTGTAAGTTTTGCTATTGCTACATAGCCAACATTAGCATTAGCTGTTTACTAACCAGTCTAGAAGAAACGTTGCATGTTCAGCATCAAACCTTATTCATTTACTCACCAAGAGTTGTTTCCAGCAATAGAAATCAACCCTCTTGTTTTGCTTCTATTACTTCTTTTCTTGTACTGATGTTAGCATGCTAACCGGCTAACTCCGGCCCTGTCAGCCTGTCTCGTCACTTTCCAATACCGAGTCAATGAAGCGTCCGTCAGCACTGAAGAAATAGGAGGTATTATAACCTCTTGTATTGTAAATGTAATGACGGCTGAAGCTCCTGGCAAGTAAATAAACATCTGTTAATGCTAACATTGGGTAGGTAGCAATAGCAAAACTTACAAATTGCTCCTTTAAATGAAAATAATACTGCAATCAAAATCCTACTCAGTTATAATCCTTAAGATTTTCACCAGATCACAGAGAATTTTTGATAATATCGTCTGGAGGAAAACAGCCATTCAATGTAACATTCAGTCTATATCTGTGGTTTTTCATTGTTAGTGGGTTCTGACTCCTGTACTCGCTATTACCCCCAGTGACCACAGGCATCACCAAATCAGCCAGTACTGAAAATTTAAGGATTATAACTTCAAGTAGAAGTTGCTATTATCAGCAAAATGTACTTAAAGTTAAAGTAGTCATGCTGAAAAATGCCCTTATCGGACTGATACATAATTATATATTACATTATTAAATTGTTGATACTGATGCTTTAATGCATAAATCACATTGCTATTGTCAATAGCTGGCCTGGCCCAGTCTAGCTGGTCAAGGTGGAACTAGTTTTAAAGGGGAACTCAATCAATTTTACACATCAAAGTTAAAGTGAAAAACTGTTGAATAGTATTATAAAGCCTTTTGTGGCTTCAGCACGAGTGTAAAATCTGAAAGATGTCCTTAAGTGATGTCACTTGAGTCAGTGTTGGCTGGGTTAGAGTTTGAAAATGAAAAAACGGTGTGTAGTTAGAAAGTTGTTAGAAAAATGTTTTTACCGCTTCTTGTCTGTACTTGAGGCAAGCAGCTTGAGGTTATATTACAAGCTCAAACTACTATAACACACCTGAGACTCAAATCAAACTTTTAGGAGTGGAGTTGCATTTTGGGTAATATAAGTTCTGACAAGGAAGTGCAACAATGTTAAAGGAGTGCAATGCTTAATCAGTAGCAAAATGATGCTTCTGGTCCAACATATACCTTGGTCCTCAGCCCGAGTCTTGCTCATACTTCCACATGTGGGCAGATTCCAGCTGTTATCGTCTGGTATTGACTGACAGCTTGAAGATTTTCTGTGTGTGCACCACAACTCGTCCAGATGTGGAAGTAGCATCTGACACTCATGCTGTATATAGGCCAGATTTGGGCTGTGGAACTGGGTGTATACTGCACTAACAGAAATTTTGCATGTGGCCAATGGGCTGGATTAATTATGCTATCTGAGCTCCTCTTTTTTTTTTTTTTTTTTTTTTTTTTATGATTCAACTTTTATTGAGTTTTGAATTTTTTACAGCATCAAACTGAAGACCAACAGAGAATAAAGCAAAAATAAGATACACAATCTCTTTGTGACAATAACAGATAAAAGTAAAAACAATAAAATAAAATACAATAAAATAAAATAAAATAAAATAAATACACAAACGGTCCATGACAGGTAAAATTAGTCCATGCTTGATATGTTAATCACAACCACAACACTGCTGCATGTCTATTCATTGTCCCATGTAAAATTCACTATCCACAAGTAATCTTCCAGGAAACAGATCCCTGTATTGCACCCAGTCTACCTCCACCTTCATTTCCATGCCAGTCCCCCAAAAACAGCCCCTAATGATCAGTATGTGCAGGTACATTTCAGCTACCCTGTAAAGAATATTGTCTTAAAAACATTCCCCATTTCCCATTATATTTATCCATATCATTTGTTATACTGGATATCCTTTCAAAAGCTACTTTGCCTAGCTCTGTAAGCCAGTCTTGAAATACCGGACCCTGTGCATCTTTCCATTTTCTCATTATCATCTGTTTACCAACCATTATACTTGTCTGAGTTCAATTGGATAAGGGTTTTACAATATGGGCCATGGGTTTAGGCTTACCTAATATGTAAAGACTGGGGCAAAACTCAAACCTCTTTTAATGTAAGAAGTTTATTCCAATGGCTCCCAACCTGGCCTTTTTATATATGGGTCACAAGCCCATAATAAGAGTGAAATTGTATAAAATCTTACTCTGAAAACTGAACAGTAACTTCAGCTGTCAGATAAATGTATTGGAGAAGAAGCATAAAGTAACAGAAAAGAGAAATGCCCAAGTAAAGTACAAGTACCTCAAAATTGTACTTCAGTAAAGTCTTTGTATCACTGAATGCTGTGCGTCACGTGATCCCCAGAGAGTGCACTATCTCAGTCCTGTACAACAACCAGTCTCACATTTTTTACTGCCGTTATATTTAACGTTGGAAGATTTCCTTTGGATCTTAACAACACTCCAGTAAAATACAAAACTCAGGTAATTAAAGAGTGTATGTTGCAGTCTCTCTCTCTCTCTCTCTCTCTGTCTGTCTGTGTATGTCTGGTGAGAGAGAGACAGAGAGAGAGAGAGAGAGAGAGAGAGAGGGGTGGGAAGTGTTAGGGAAAGCTGGTCGCTCAAGCTGTGCAATTCAGTGCTTGAAATCGTCCGAAGAGGAAACATTTTACGCGCCGAAATTATGGCCAATNTTTTATGATTCAACTTTTATTGAGTTTTGAATTTTTTACAGCATCAAACTGAAGACCAACAGAGAATAAAGCAAAAATAAGATACACAATCTCTTTGTGACAATAACAGATAAAAGTAAAAACAATAAAATAAAATACAATAAAATAAAATAAAATAAAATAAATACACAAACGGTCCATGACAGGTAAAATTAGTCCATGCTTGATATGTTAATCACAACCACAACACTGCTGCATGTCTATTCATTGTCCCATGTAAAATTCACTATCCACAAGTAATCTTCCAGGAAACAGATCCCTGTATTGCACCCAGTCTACCTCCACCTTCATTTCCATGCCAGTCCCCCAAAAACAGCCCCTAATGATCAGTATGTGCAGGTACATTTCAGCTACCCTGTAAAGAATATTGTCTTAAAAACATTCCCCATTTCCCATTATATTTATCCATATCATTTGTTATACTGGATATCCTTTCAAAAGCAGCTACTTTGCCTAGCTCTGTAAGCCAGTCTTGAAATACCGGACCCTGTGCATCTTTCCATTTTCTCATTATCATCTGTTTACCAACCATTATACTTGTCTGAGTCCAATTGGATAAGGGTTTTACAATATGGGCCATGGGTTTAGGCTTACCTAATATGTAAAGACTGGGGCAAAACTCAAACCTCTTTTAATGTAAGAAGTTTATTCCAATGGCTCCCAACCTGGCCTTTTTATATATGGGTCACAAGCCCATAATAAGAGTGAAATTGTATAAAATCTTACTCTGAAAACTGAACAGTAACTTCAGCTGTCAGATAAATGTATTGGAGAAGAAGCATAAAGTAACAGAAAAGAGAAATGCCCAAGTAAAGTACAAGTACCTCAAAATTGTACTTCAGTAAAGTCTTTGTATCACTGAATGCTGTGCGTCACGTGATCCCCAGAGAGTGCACTATCTCAGTCCTGTACAACAACCAGTCTCACATTTTTTACTGCCGTTATATTTAACGTTGGAAGATTTCCTTTGGATCTTAACAACACTCCAGTAAAATACAAAACTCAGGTAATTAAAGAGTGTATGTTGCAGTCTCTCTCTCTCTCTCTCTCTCTGTCTGTCTGTGTATGTCTGGTGAGAGAGAGACAGAGAGAGAGAGAGAGAGGGGTGGGAAGTGTTAGGGAAAGCTGGTCGCTCAAGCTGTGCAATTCAGTGCTTGAAATCGTCCGAAGAGGAAACATTTTACGCGCCGAAATTATGGCCAATAATTGTGGTTAGTGCGCTTTACTTTTACATTGTCGGATTGATACTGATTCAGAAAAACATTTGGTAAAATGTGGACAATTCCCAAGCCAAAATACAGGAGTGGTTTCTGCGCCGAGGGGGAGATTGCTGTGAACATCGGCGGGGTCCGAGTGGTGCTCTTCGGGGATGTTTTGAACCGCTACCCGGAGAGCAGACTGGCGGAGTTGGTGAACTGTTCAACTCAGAATTATGAAGTCATCTCGTCGCTTTGTGACGACTTTGATCCGGGCAGGAAAGAGTTTTACTTTGACCGAGACCCTGATGCCTTCAAGTGCATCATCGACGTTTACTACTTTGATGAAATCCACATCAAACGCGGCATTTGTCCCATTTGTTTCATCAAGGAGATGGAGTTCTGGAAAATAGACCAAAGTGTTTTAGATGAATGTTGTAAAAGTTACTTAAGTGAGAAAGAGGATGAGCTGGAAGAGATTGCAAACAAAGTGAAAGTGATTTTGGAGGATCAGAGGGAGGACCAGTGCATCACGCGCACCCAGCGATGCCAGAGGTTCCTGTGGAGGCTGATGGAGAAGCCGGGTTCCTCCCTGCCGGCGCGCATCATCGCCATCGCATCATTCCTCTCCATCCTGGTCTCGGCGGTGGTGATGTGCGTTGGGACCATCCCGGAGCTCCAGGTGACAGACCCCGAGGGGAAACTCGTGGAGCACCCGACCTTAGAAGCCATCGAGACCGCGTGTATGATGTGGTTCACGACGGAGTACCTGCTGCGTCTCGCCTCCTCTCCGAACAAGCTGCACTTTGCGCTCTCCATCATGAACGTCATCGACTTTATGGCCATCATGCCTTTCTACGTGGTCCTGTCCCTCACCTACCTCGGTACCACATCCATGATGGAGCTGGCTAACGTCCAGCAGGCTGTCCAGGCGCTCCGCATCATGCGTATCGCGCGTATTTTCAAGCTGGCGCGCCACTCCTCCGGACTGCAGACCCTGACCTACGCGCTGAAGAGGAGCCTCAAAGAGCTGGGGCTGCTCCTCATGTACATGAGCGTGGGGATCTTCGTGTTCTCAGCGCTGGCCTACACCATGGAGCAAAGCCACCCAGAGACCCTTTTCAGGAGCATCCCTCAGTCTTTTTGGTGGGCGATCATCACCATGACGACGGTGGGCTATGGAGACATCTACCCCAAAACCACGCTCGGCAAGTGTAACGCAGCTGTGAGCTTTCTGTGCGGGGTGATAGCCATCGCCTTGCCCATCCACCCCATCATTAACAACTTTGTTGTGTTCTACAACAAACAGAAAGTGCTGGAGACTGCAGCAAAGCACGAAGTGGAGCTGATGGAGCTGAAGTCTGGCAGGGAGGCGCGCAGGAAAAGTAGGAATTAAGAGGAGACTGTCTTTCTAAAACTTGTTATCGTGGTCAGACTGAATTATAAAAGCAACTTCATATCGAAAGTAAATGAGACAAAAAAAGTAAATTGTCCATAATTAAACTTTTAGTTGTAAAGTTAAAGCTGAGTTGTAAAATAGTAAATTGTAATTTATTAAAGACTTCAATTCAAGACTGCTGGACCTGCAAACACCCTGGGAGAGCTCCACCTGTACATAGCGCCATAATAGAGTTGTTGTCTTCACTCTGCAGCTGCTTCACTGGGGAATATGTGCTGTGTTGCTTTTGCCTCTGCTCCAGTTATCTCGTCATTGTGAAGGCTATTATAGAATTAAAACATGTGCATGAAAAATAAAACCCTGTCCACGTGCTTAGAGAATTGTTCCATGTATCAATGATAGTGAAGACAAATCGAAACTGACGTTTATTTACAAAACAAATTCAATTTCATTTAAAAGATAGATTCACCATTTTTCAAAAGCTGCTGTCTTTTCAGCACAACACTTTCTCTGTGCGATTCCACAGACACTGTTTCCTTGTTGAGCTGTGGCGGAAGGAGAGGAACACAAAGAGGGAATTTTGCTCGGAAAAGACTTTGAAAGATAACCACTTGATTTAATTAACTCTGTGGAAGTCTCATGTTTGCTCCAGGGAACGGAAACTGTAAATTTAGTTCCCATCATTTAGCCTTCTTAAGATAAGGAAGGAATCTTTTAATGGCCAGTATGAGCAGAGGGAATGACTGCAGCAAGCAGGACCTGTTTCAGTGCTCATATGGCCACTTGACTGTTGTTTTAAGACAGATTTGAGTAATAAAAAATACAAAGTGGAATGATAGAATCATAGTGTGTTATTGGGAAATTTAATTGTGCTAAAATTATGACTAAAACTGAGTCAGAAGATGTAGCCCCCACAAAACAGGTGTGTGACTAAAAGATTCATCTGTCTAATCAGAGTCGTCAGAGTAGAGGAATATTTTGTGTGACGACAGCTATCAAAATGATGTTCCCTGTGTTTCTGCCTGACCCACTCAACAGTGGTTAGATATGACTATTCATTACCACAGGGCCGACAGTGAGAGATGGCGTGAACTATAAAAAAATTTAAAAAAAAAATCAAGGTTTAAAATAAGCCAGGGCTTTGCTTTTATGATAAGATATGATTTTTAAAAATCTGCTCCTCTATACATCCTGAGTCCTGGAGACGTCTAACCCTGCCAGACCTTAACTACGAGTGGCTGCTGAACAGCTGTGTCAGCAGCTGTATCCTCATTTCCCTCCACTCCTCCAGTGATGTGAACAAATATTCTGTTTCAATAGTTTTGGTCAACAAAAGTTATTCATGTGAGCAAGACTAAACTGTTTGTGTGTGTGTGTGTGTGTGTGTGGTGTGTGTGTGTGTGTGTGTGTGGTGTGTGTGTGTGTGTGTGTGTGGGAGAGAGAGAGATCATTTGCCTTCCTGAAGACCACAGTCCATCAATAACAGGTAAAGAAAATGTACTAATCATTGTTTTATTATACTTCATGGCTTTCCCTTATGTTTCCCATATTTATTATTTTTCAACATGTTTTTGGACCGATGACATGTTTTAGAAGTCTGTCACAGAAAATTGCACATTACTTCTGTTTAAGGTTTCAGAGAGTCAAGCTGTTAAACCTGGATGGATTTTCATTCTGCTCCATATGTATCTATGTGTCTTACATTGTACCTCCCAAATCCCCAATAAGCTATCTGGATTTCTGCAATTGTAGCTTTTTCATAAGTAATCTAACAGGGAGTTACGACTCTCTGGGGGTCTAATTGACTCCAAACATAAAAAAAACATTGACAGTATAAGAAAGATATGTACATGTCTTTGTCTATGAATGACAATGGCAAACATGCATAGCTCTTACAACTTATAAAACATGAACTATTTCACTGAGTTCTTGTTTGGCTAATAGCTATGCTTCCACAATGGGCATTTTCTTATTTTCATTTCTTTATCAAATGGCCAGTTTAGTTTTAATAATAAGAAGAAAAGAAAATATATATTGAAAGAAAAAAAATGGTTGGTTTTGCATTTTCCACACAGCAGTCATGTCTTTAGCCAAACAATGATGAAGTAGAGCAAATTTCAATAAAACGCAAGGAAGCTCTGTCTTTTTTATATCCATACAGCCATTTCTCCTCTATAGGTCCTGACACATTTTCACAAAATGTATTTTCAAATCTGCAAAGATTCTTAGTTCGGGAGCTGGGATCATTCAAAGCTGAAGACACAAGAGGCTGCGTATCTTTTGTTACAATATGCCAAAAGAGTTAGTGAGCTGTCTTCCCAAAGTGATTCAGTGTTTTATGTTTTCTTACTGCAGCCATTTTTTTTTTATATAGAAACGACACAGCAAAGACGATAGAAAATGCTCCTTTGGTCAGAATGAAGAACTAGATTTTATTCTACTGAGGCAATTGTTGGGTGAGAAATGTCCAGGCTTGGGTCAGTGTTTTCTGCAATCTAAATGAATTGCACTGTTCAGTCTGTGAGATGTGTGTGTGTGTGTGTGTGTGTGTGTGTGTTTGGATCATAAGTCTGTGTATCTTCATCAGCATGTCGCTGTATAAGTTTTTTGCATCATGTGTGACACGATCCAAGGCAGCGCTCTGTGAGAAACTGCCGGCCCCAGCGGGAAAACACTTCAAAGTAAGGTTATACACACCCACGCACACTGAACACTCAAAAACACTGCCTCCCCTGCCACCACCCCACCCGCTGTTTTCTCTCTGTCTCCTTCTCACTCCTTCGTCCTGCCTCCACCTCCTCATCCTCCGTCTCAGATGACGATCTGTCAGCTTCACTGGCTGAGGGAGCAGTGATATGTAAAGTATTAGCGCTGTCATATTTTGAGGGTGTGTGGTGAAGTACAACTTTACACTTCAAACTTTGAATGTTAAACTACTGCACTCTGAAGGTAAAAAAAGAAGAAGAAGGAATAAATGATTGTTTATCAACATTGAAGTATAAAAGATTTGTGTGTGTGTGTCAGTGTGTGTGTGTGTGTGTGTGTGTGTGGGGGGGGGGGGTGGGTTGAGAGACTGATATTAGCTGACATTGACTTCAACCAAATATAGCACTTCATATGTTATGCATCAGCAACCATTACAGTTGACTCAGTCTCACTCTCACTGTATGGCACGGACACACAGTTTGAAATTATATGTTGCTGACCACAGTCTGTAATGACCTTTAAAGGCGAAACAGTCAAACTGATCTCAGCTCAGTCGTTGTATGAACATGTTAATGCTCTACACAAGAATTCATTTCTTTCTGTGGCTCTCTCCTGATACGCTTGATCAATGGCAACCTGTAAACAAATGCATCAAAGACGTAAGAGCCTCCATGTCAATACCTGGCTTCCTCTGTGTGCTTTGATGCTTCACAGGAGAGGTCTCCCACGATCCTGACAGTCCCAGAGCGCACATGTGTGTCTGGAGGAGGATTTGACAGTAAATAGCTTTTGATTGAAGGAAGGTTAGAAACTGATGATTAGTCATTTTTAATTAGTTCCCACTGGTGATAGTGATGTAGTAGTGTAGGTGTGTGGATAGGTAGGTTAGGGTTTAGGTAAAGTTTCACACACTCTGCATCTTTTTCTTTCTTTTTTTTTTAGTTGTGTGCAGCAAACAAGTGGCAATGACTATGAGATCTCAGATGAAACCAAATTTTATGGAATATATTTGTTCCTCAGTTCCAACTGTTTTTGCTTGTGATAAAAACAGTTTCCTCATCATAAACTTTAAATTTTACTTTGAAGACTGTAAGTTTTTATATGAGCGGTGTTTTCAAATCATATATAATATAAAGACTCATTTTAAAGGTTAAGTTCATGTTAACCTGAAGACCTGCTGACCTCTGGCTTTTATCGTCGGAGATTTAAAAATGGCTCAAAGCTGATAGTTGGTTCGACAGGCAGAGTATCACACCATCTACATTTATATACATGTAACATTTTCTTGAAAAATGATCACATCAAGATTTCTATTAATTAAAAAATGGTAAAATATCTGTTTAAAATTGATACAATCACCATGATACAAGTCCAATTTCAGGCAGGTTATGTCAGCAAACACATATTCAGTTCAAGTAAACTTGACTCTATGTGTGCACACTTGTGCATATGAATGGAAAAAGAGACACAAAGAATAATTGCCCATATTTTTTGAGCCATCTGTCCCAAACCTACATCATTGACTTTACTTTCTTGTTTTTAGTTGCAGTGCTGCAGTTACTTCACCTGTTCAGCTCCAAACAAAAGACGACATTAGTAACGAAACATAATCAAGTGTTTCCACAACCAGTTATTTCCCCCTGGAGTTTATGGAGATCAAATCGCAGATTAATGAGGAGTGAATATTGGGCTTACATTCATCACATGGATAGAAACATGATTAATAATGTTCTTTATCTGCTGAATGTTTAAATAGGCAACTGTTTGCTAACACATTAGCCATGACGATTGTAGACAGTGCTAATGTGTCAGTGTTGTGTTGTGCTGCCCCCAAGTAGGATCAGTTGATGCAGGTTTAAACAAAGTAATAGGCCAGTTACTACCTGCAAAATACATGCTCCTGTTTTGTTGTCACACATTTGCAATTCATCACAACTAATGTCAGTAGTCAGTTAAAAAGAGAATATTAAAGTTTGTTGTTCTAAAGTTCTTGATTTTCAAATGAGTAAAAGCATGTGACCACTTGCAGACTCCCAGATGTCAGACCTTCTGCCTGCAGTCTTAGTGCCATATAGTGTTATGTGATTTGAACATCTAGCCGTGTGCATTTTGAGTTACCAGACAGCATTGTCAGACAGAATTGTCTGGTAACTCAAAATGCAGCAAATAGCAGTGCAGGAAGCAGACCATAACCTTACATCTTTATTTGATGTCATGCACAACAACATTACACCAACATATCCCCCTCCGCTTTTTATTCTGTCTAAAAAAACACAAACCAGCAGTGGTCTGCTGTTGTCATGGCTCCAGTCTTTAAATAACAGTCTCACTCTCATTATTCAGCCTCAACAAATCCTTTTGCTTTCAG